TATTATATTGAATGAATTGATGCTATATATATAATACAATTGATGATATGACAATTGTTTTCATTATAAGAATCTGCGTTGGCTTTCGTGCTTCTTCTTTATAGTAATATTAATTTATTTTTAAAGTCTCTTTGTTCACGTATACTTTCTGTCATTCTTTTTTTCAATCGATTCCGGTTATCACGGCACGGCAAACACTATTTTCGCAATCACCATTCGTGATCTTCCTGCCGGTATCCTCGCGGCAGTTACCGAGACCATCGAGGGGATTTTTCCGTGGGATATTACGACGACGCCCCGTGTAACCACCTTGCCTTTATGCAAGCGGCGGAAGGTGCTTGTGTGTACTCAGGCTCCCCGTCATATCGTATAAGCCGTGAGGTAGTTTAGTTTGTCGAGAGTTCAGGTACAGGTAATTACCTACTGGCTACCGGCGTCAGGTGGTAGTGACACGGTAGCGTCGACCTCCTCCTCATTTTCCTCCTTCTCTTCTTACTTGCGCGTACCATCTTCTCTTTCCTCTCTCCCTCTTACGGACATGCCTCCCTCTTTCCTTCGATACTTCGGCCATGTATTCGCACGTACTCACACAAAAATATCTCATGACGAACAGTTCCATTAGCTTAATGGGATCGTCCCTCCTGTCGATAGATTGACCGTCTTATCTGACAACCTTCACGTGAGCAAAGATCAGGTTTCGCATTAATTATTTGACGCCTTATCTGATATTGCTGAAAATCTGGTTAATTTTCCGATAATTGTGAAGTGTCTGAGTTTTCAATAAGTCAATAATTAGTCGCAGAAAACCATTTATAATCTGTAAATCCGATAGTTTGTGTTAGATTAATTACTTACTACAGCGACTTGTAAACATGTATTATCATGTTGGCTTAGATTTTTATGTTGTACGTTTTATGGGATATCTGCGGACCTTTAATTATATGCTAGTTATGCGCCCGTATATAAATGTTTTTACCGGAGTAAAAAAGTTTTTAGCGCGAGTTTATAACGCTTCGAAGATATAACTGTCATTTCGATAATATCACTACATTATTGGCACTCTTGAAAATAAAGAGATATGAGTAACAATTGTTCCTGAACAATGGAAGAACTTATAAATTATATTTCTCTCAAATCATTTTCCATTTTTAAAATAGCTTCGCTATATTATTTGCTGATGTTCCTAACATTTTAAACTTTTGTTATGTTTTCTTAACTAATAATTAAGTTTTGTAACTCTTTCTAAAATCTCAGTTTTATAATATCTTTATAAATTTGTATGTTGTTGAAACTATTATATACATGAAAGCTTTTTTTATTATGTCTTATTTCTGTACACGCTAATTTTACTGGAAAAAAATTAAATATAATAATAAATTTTCTTAGATAACTGCTACTCCTAATTTTTTGAATTTAATTCTACCATTTTTGAAGTAACGGAATGACACAAATGAATTAAAAATCTCATTTAAATTAAGATTAAACGTTCCATTTTTGCACGCGAGCAAAACCTGATGAGTAATTTACACACAGAAAAATATTATTTTATTATAAAGAAAAGTAATTATTCAATATACTTTTGCTCTTTTAAATAACGTTTTTCTTTGACAAAGAATATCTTTTGATAAGAATCTTAAAATACATACCCATTACATATAGAAAACCTCATTACGTGGTCCAAATAAAAATTAATTTTTTTAAAGAATATATTATAAAATTCATCGAGGAAGTAACTATATAAATAAAAAATCGAAATTGTTTTAATTTAACAATCTCTTAATTAGTGAACTTACTAGGCTTCAAAATATATTTTGAATAAATATGTTGCTTTTGTGATAAATTTATAATAGATTTGCGGCTATATATAAACTTGTAAAATATTTAAAACAAGTAGTTATTATCTGCCTATACAGTACGTATTTTGCTGTGTGTTCACAATTGTCTATGACTTCACCGATAACCGATCGACTGATTAATTGCGAGCACTACAACGCGTCGAAGGAATTCGCTGAAGGGGTCAGCCTTGCAGGATTTCCCGTCGCTGTCGATCGAGCTGTATCACAGAAGCTCGGCTGTAACGTTTCGTTATCGGCATACTCGGCATGCTCTCGTCGTTTTCGCCACGCATGCCGCAGGCGTTCCACGAGAGATAACACGCGCGCACGGAACGGGGACAAGACAAGGTAGATGACACGGCCCGTAATTGCATGTTATCCGTTGCATCCACGCGCGGGCGTGTCCGCGTGTCTGGGCGCGTGTGCGTACACACACCGACTGTGGCACGCGTGTGCAAGTATGCACGCAAGTATGTGTATACGTTTGTACAGAAGAGTGTTTGCGCTACCGGATCCGGCTGCCCGTTCCACGTGCCCTCGTGCTTGACGTCCCACGGATACGCGACACAAAGGACGTTTGTGGTGGCGCCGTGCTTTTCCGAGCTCTCCGAACGGTTTCTCTTTCGTTGTTTCAAATGTAAATAATGTCTGTGTTCCGAAATGCCCATCCGTGGCTTTATCGGATGACCCGTCATTGGAAGTCGCGCGGATCAAGTCGCAACGAAATAGCCTTTGCCGTTGGTATCGGCCGAAGCATCGCAGAGTTGTGTGATAGTTTTTTTTTTTTTTTATCGAAGAGACGTTATAAATTTTTTATCTATTTGATATCTCCGAAAACTTCAAGACAATTTCAATGGAAAATTTGAGCAATATTTTTTCTTGGTTTATTAGAAGTTTATATGATTTATTGGATGTATATCACAGTTTTGTAATTATAATAAGTTAATGAATATGTCTAATTAAGAGAGAGTAAGAGAAATTCTACATTCGGTCCAAACTTGATGCTTAAATATTTCGGTGTGTGAATATTTATATCGTATTCAAATTTGCAAGTCGTGCATCGAAATTTTTTTTAGCCTTGAAACGCATTTATGAATAGAATTCGTAGTAATGTCACTGTTACGTCCGGGCGCGTCAATTTATCTTTTTTTTCCGCGCCTCCCGTATCTGATTATACGAGGATGCTATCGCGCTAACGATATCCAGTATTAAACCGCGGATCGCCGAGTGTGAGCGAGGGCGCTACTATCTAGCGAGCACGCGCTAATTATTAATTTTGCGTATATCGCAATAAGAATCACCCATTAGGTTTTGTAGCGCGATAACAAAGGCGAGGGCAAGCCAATCTATCTATCTTACTTTTTGACAAGTAGCATCTTTCAACTGATTACTGTCAAATTTTGAGCGGAATTCATCGAGAGGTTTCATTTCTGTAGAAGATTAAAGCGAACAACCTTTGTATTTTTTGCAAAGTGGAAAAAACGAGTTTCGCGAGTGTAATATTTAAGAGTACAGTAAACTGACACTTCTCTTCTCCACCCTGACACTCGGGCTACCCTTCATCTTGGGTGCGCGCTCGCTATTCGGGCGTTCTCCCCTCATCCCTCTTGGGTGCGCACTCGTTATTCGGACGTTCTCTTCTCGCTCTTTAAGATGCGCGTTCGCCATTCGAACGTTCTCCTCGTTCATCCCTTTCGTCTTCCGCACCAAAAGGTTTCCAATATCCGTAATAATAAATAAATCTATTCATTATTTAAATATTATCATTAAATAAAACTACCCTTACGTCTTTTCGCATATACATACTTTTTCTTTGATTCGATTCTGACCCTGAACACCAATTAGGCTTTTGCATTCCCCTCGCGCAGGTCGCATACTCTTACGATAATCCCTGGGTTTTCCGGGTAGTTCTCTAATCTCATTTTATAGCGACAGGAAATTTTGACGCTTAGTAATGGAACTCTTTCATCTCGTTAGAGCATAGGATGATCGGGCCTACATATTGTGTGCCAACATAGACGGCTAAAGCGTCAGCTCTACCAGACCGGAGAGTTCGATCCATCGGTGTTCGACCAGTTCATCAAAAAACCAGGTAGCGACCTTCCCCGCCTACGTGAATCCACGTTATCACAGGGATTTCACTACTCAGCTCCTGGTAAAGAGCTTTGCTTCCTTTCTCCTCCTCCGCCTGCACCACTGCGCAAAACTGTCATTCAGCATCCTCCGATCCGGTGGATCCTTGCGCTCCGACACGCAAACCTACGCACCCTCTCCCGATGGCTCGACAAGCTCGTCTCATTCGGGATGATCTACTACCGCCCTCCTCTTCCTCTAAAGTTCGTCAACTCCCTCGCGTTATATCCAACGATACTTCGGGCCTCCTCCTCGTATATGTATACCATATATATTATATATTGTTGGAAAGATCTCGCCGAGTAGAGTTCAACTGTGCAATATTTCGCTTGAATGACGTCTCTAAAGGGCGTTATGTGCAATAGAAGTTATACAAAGTCTATCTAATAGTAATAAGAATTTGACTTTGGATTTGAGTTTCTAGGGTCATATATGGCGGTCAACGGTTTTTTCAAATGTTATCATTACCATTAGTCTTTTTGGTTTTCCTTTTCTTCTCTGCGCTCTTAGTTTGGTTTCTGAAATGAAACGAAAACCACGACTTATGTTTATTATTAACCAGTTCACTGAAATTTTTTTTTTTCCAAAACTGGTGAGAGCATATAATTTCATATTTTACATGGAATTTTATCTATAAGGGTTTTTTTATCTCTAGTAATGAATCCAGAGTCGAAGTTTTTAAGTTTAAAATAGCGGATCCAACATAGCACCTAAAAAACATATATAAAAAATAAAAAATTAAGATCAAAAAATATAAAGTAAAAATAAATAAAAAAATTGAAAACGAATAAAAAAAATAGAAAAAAATGGAGTGTAAAATCCTACCGTGGCCTCTCCGTGACGCACTCTGGGGTTGCGATAATATTTCACCAGCAAATAACGGAGGTTAAAGTATCCATAATTAAAAATATATATTAAGAATATATTTATCTTTGAATTAATTACAATTATTATAATTACAACTATTTAAGTGTCTTTACAAATATTCTTAAAAACAAGACACTTGAAGGCAAGAACTGATTCTCATTACAGCATCCTCGGTAACGCGGGAGAAGTCTTCGCGCGAGGAAACGGTCCAGCCTGAGGCGCATTCACCTTCCTCTCAGCAGCATCAAAGGATCGGTCAACAGAAGCAAACAAACGGCCCTCGATCGGAATACAAAGGCGCATCCGGTTGCTCTAGGTCTTCTGATAACGACAGCCCTTTGCCTTCACAATCGCTCAAACCTGAGCTCGAGGAGGCTGCTGCAGGTACTGCAAATGCCGGGCTCAGGACGACGGACGAGCAGAGTGATGGTGCCGTGTTAGCGAACGGCACTGCCGGTGCATCCAGATGCGTCAGTGGTATCTTCGCAGGACACGGCAAGCTCAAAAGGTTGCTGGGCACTCTGGTGCAATTCGCCACCGATATCTCAACAGACACGGGTGATACGGTGCGCACGCTGGTACTTGCGCTTTTGGTAGGTAAATCTGTATTTACACTTTCTAAAAATAACAATTAATCAGTCATAAGCACAGCGCTGAAGTCAGTAATAATATACTGATTCACTTTTAGAAAGCAGCAGTTTTATATAATCTTTAGAGTAGTATCTCAAGACTGAAAATTGAACTATAGTCTCTCGACCAGTCTTAAAAAAGAGTGGCTCAATCGTCAATCTTCAAAAGCGAGATTTCTCTCTTTAGATAGAGATGCATTCTAAAAGTCTCTTAGAATAAAATAGATTTTTATTGAATTAGATAAATTAATTTTTTAAGATACTTTAATAATGTTAATATTTTTTATATGCGTTATATAAATATTTAATCGCACATGCACGAATAAAATAATGATGCGTAACACGCATATATAATCCGGATTAATATTGCTCATTTTTTATTCAATTTCCTATCGCGCAATATTCTAATAAATTTTAGCGTTTATCATATATTATATGGACCGTTAGCTTATTAGCAATCTCTGTCAGCTTATCTCACATTGCACATTACACGTAGTTTGCAGATTATCTTCATGCAAGACCTTTCCGGATTTATGAATTCTTTTAGTATCAACAATAAAGTAATATACGCGTACCAGCTGACGGAGTTTTCTGCCGCGTGCTGAAATCATGAGATTTGCAGTGTGCATACATCATATTGCATCATCGTTAGGTGCATCCGTATAATAAATTATAGGCTTTTCTCTCAATAGCAGATATTGCTTTGCATTATTAAAATAGATTAACGATTTCCTTTCAATTCAACAAAAGGAACAATTATTTATTTTATATCCCGATAAAGAGTTTGTCGTAAAACTTTTGAAGCCCATAATAGTTTCGTTGTGAAAAAATATACTTTTTAGCGATATTTCATCGATTACATTTTGGCAATGATAACGTCATGAAAATTCGTGGTGCGGTTGTAACTAACAAGCGTCAGATAAACGATTCTGCAATGTGCATGCATGCATGCGGCGCGGGATGAAAAAAAGCATAGTTAATCGATGCCGGCCGTACCGTGTCGTTAAACAGCTCGTAAATATTCAAAGTACGTACATAATGCATAATGTCGTCGTGTGTACCGAGCGTGCATACGTCCCGGAAACGTGACATCTGGTGACCGTGCTTAACTGTAAAACGATCGCGGCACGTGACAAACGCAAAACCAAATCCAACCAAAGCCGCGCGCGCAACTCGTTCCGGAAACGCGTTTCGCTTCGGGATCCGATCTTTTTGCCGACGATTGAATTACACGCGGCGCTCGCCGTGTCGTTAATTGCAGAGCGGCAGCATGACCGCGGAGGAGTTTCATTCGGCGTTGCAGGAGGCAACCAATTTCCCACTCCGAAGCTTCGTCTTGCCGTATCTCAAGCACACCTTGCCCTCCCTGCAAAGGGACCTGAATAACGCCGCCAGGGTGAATAATCAGGTAAAACAGTTTACTACAATTTTACTACGATTTACTATGATTTTTTACTATCATTTCATTCCTACAAGAAAGAACAGTTTTACTGCGAAGAATTTAAAACTCTAAAAATTTTACTAGATACATCATATTTTAAAATAATTTTAATAGACCATCAAAATAATTAAAAATGTAAGACACTTAAATTGGTTGCTGGACTGATTTTTTGCGATATTGCTCATCAAGCTTCAATATTCTACATACCTAATTATTTTGATAGTCCAACCAAATTATTTTCTGATGTGTGTGGTTACATTTTTAAATATTCCAGCAAAACAGTTCTTTTCATGAAGCGAAACGGAAATTTATTTCCACGCATATAAATAGTAAAAAAAGAATTCACTGACGAGATGGATCGCACTTGCATCATGCAACATTATTTTTTCAGACATAACAATTATCATTACGTTTATCTCTATGTTATTCTGCATTATAATGCATTTTTATTTTGACGTTACTTTTCGAGAGTCAGCATTTTTGACTAATATTTATATTGTAAGAAAAAAAATATATGATTTTTCTATAGATTCGGTAAAGTGTCACAAGATTGCATTGAGAATAACGGTGACGGCTGATTCATAAGCAGTCCGATGCTTTATTGGAGCCACTACGGTGGTCATAAATCACTACACTCGTGTGCAACGCGGCACGGCACAGTGCGGCGCGTAACGATGCATGAAGACGCGCATTCCCCATGCTGGCAAAAATCGCTACCTCGCGGCCGGGATCTGTCACAATCAAAATAAGTCATTTGCGTAGATATACATATCGGAATTAAATACGAATTTTAATTCAAATATCCGTTACCAACTTTAAATAATTTCACCTTTACAAAAATCTAAGACCGGTCAATTTAATTTGTGTAAGATAGAATTATTTGGAGAATAACTAAAAATGCATTAAATGGCAGAAGTGCTTTTAATACTTAGAATAATAATTTTATTCTTGTAATTTTTAAATTAATTAATTACTGTTTTTCTTTATTAACCCCTTGATTTTATTGGAACCATGTTAATTTTTTCTTTAAATTTTGACTATTTCTTCGATATTTATATTATTATGTATCTATAACTTATATACATTAAATCTCATGATATCGATAAAATTAAATAATTTCAACGGATGTCTTCAAATTTGACATATGATACATTACAATGTATGTAGGTCTGAAGGAGTTAATAATTGGTAATAATTAATTGATCAATACTAGACTTCAGTAAGAGAAGTTAACATTTGTATATAGTCAGACTTTTCAGATAATTGTAGATGCACGATACATCTCGTATTTATTATGTCTCAAGATTTCAATTATTCTTTAAATTATTTTAAGATATCTCGCACATTTTTGTTTCGTAAAAATAATGCTATTTATCATCATTTGTATTTATCGAGAAAAGCATATTATAACTGCCACTTCTCTTACTCCTCGTGTAATACGCGGTACTTCGTAAAATCGCGCGCTCCGTTAACAATTCGCGGAGTACGCGATTTTTTTTATCGCTCTCTCTGATGGGAATATCGCGGCGAAATAGGGAGAGACGGATAGATCCAACGTGACATTTCGCCGTTCCAAATGGGCGGATCGATGTCGCACGTGGTCGACTCGCGTTCCAAACGTGCGGTCGCGGAGTGCGCGGCGTCTCGAGAAGGAAAGATCACCGGCCGCAGCGTTTGTTATGCAGGAACCGGTCCATGCCCTCTCAAAGATGTCGCACGTGCCTCATGTCTCTCTCCCTCTCTCTCTCTCTTTCTTTCTTTTTCTCGCCTGGGTCGCGCGCCGGCCCATAAATTTGTATGCACTACTGCGCTCGAACAAGTGCAACCGCGTCCCCGAATCCTTTCACGCGTTTGCTTCCCCGCAACATTGCGGCCAGTATGGAACCACAAAGTATGCCGTTCAAGATAATAGACGAGTCACCGCGGACTCACGCAAGGGAGATGTATTTTTATTTCCTTCCGTTTTAAATTCTCGAAAGAGAAGAAAAATGTCTTTCTCCCTCCTTTTCTTTATAATGGCGGATGTTGTTCGAACATAAATTTTATATAGTGTTCTTTCTCTTTAGAATAAGCAAATTAATATTGATAGAAAAGTTTAAATTTTTGATTAAAATTTTAGTGATCATTTCTGTTAAATAAATTTTTAATTTTCTTTGCTGAAATCATCGTGCATTAAAATAACGTAAATTTGAAATGTTATATAGCTCAGCGCTTGAATTTAGATTTCGTTTATATCTCGCAATGAAGTAATAATTAATTATTCATTAGATAAATTTTAAACCGAGCTCTAAGCGGCTGCTACGTCAGATGTCAGTTTCCCAGATTATAAAATTCATTTTCGAAACCAGCGACTACGCGGCGATACAATCCGCTGTTTAATTTCTTTGTGGCACTTCAACTTTTCACCAATACGATTGTGAAATAATTATTACGACGAATATATACAGGAAAGTATAAAAATTGTACACGAAATAATATATAAATATTAAACGTAAACTCTTACAATTAGAAATAGCAGAGATATTTTCTTTTCATTGGAAGCTGTATCGTCAGAACGTTCAACGTTGAATAATGCAAGAATTACAAGCGTTTCGTCAGATCGTTACGAGGGAACAATTCATTTTAAATACGCCCCGGAATCTGCGTGAGAAATTGCGTGAGTGTCAGGTCCGGGACACTCCGTACAACGAACGTGACGCAGAAGCGCGGGAGGACACGGTAAAATCAACAGAGGCAAGGCTGACCGGCTGGCAGGTTGTTTTAATTTCCCAGGCTACTTTCCGATCGTCGCGGTGGGAGCATACCAGTATGTTCCAAGATGGATGAACGACTCGGTAGCGAGAGAGGGAAAGAGACGGTGCGGATCGGGAAAAAAAGCGCCACGATTTTTGCCCTCCTTCCCGAAACTCTCGCAACGCGAACGCGTTGTGGATACACGCGAGATGCGGAGTTTGATAGTCATGCGATAATACGCGTGATACGTGTGACACGCGATCACGCACGTACCCTTTCAACGAAACACATTCAATTATTCCGCATTGATAAAACGATAAAAAAAAATGTTCGTGTAGCCTCGTTGATTCTTGTCAAGCCTTTTTCTGCGCAGTGAATTGATACATTTGAAAAATTATGCGACAATAAGTCCTCATAGAATCCACTTCCTTTTTTTACATACGAAATAGTTTAGGCTTTGGTGGAAAGAATTGCTCGAAGAACCGATTAAATAACGCTGCATTTCGGAGAATTATAAGGGAGCTCGAGACTGTAATGTATATAATCTCGTCCTTAAAATTATCCCTTGCATACAATTTCTCGCGTTGAATCCGTGGATGTACGATTTAATCCGGTATACTTTGGCCATCCATGTACGCATCGGTTGGTTTGAATCCGGTGCTTGCAATTATTTATCTGTAAAAAAAAAAAAAGAGAAGAGACTTTTATACCGTATTTTATATCGGGCGGTAATGTTTATGCAAATTTACGGGGAATTAACGTTAGAGAAAATGCATTAACGCTTTTATATTCGTTTCCATGGGTACAAATCTGTGTTGTATTAAAATTAAGAGTATGCGCGAAAAAGTATTCGGTACTCGTGCCGAGCACGCGAACGCGCCTGAACAGACACGAAAGGAAAGTTCGGAATATTTTTTAACGTTTCAAGTCCGATAAACCGCAATTTATAGAATATATTCGTAAATTTGCATATAAATTTTATTAAGCATTGAGACTTGCTTCGATCGGAAATAGGATTCTTTCTTTTATTTGAAATATTTTTTGAGATGCAAAGAAACAATCTATAGATTATGGAAATAAGTATTATGCGCAGCTCTTTAAATATTAGAATAATAAAATTGTGTTATTATAATTAAATAAAAATGTTTTTTTGTCATATATATATATATATATATATATTAAATACGTATGTAGTTTGAAAAATTTAGGTAAAACAAGTGATATATATTTTTTTTAAGAAAAAGTCTATTTCAATATAATCTTCTTTAAGAGCTATATATTACATTTGCCAAATTTGAAAATACAATTTCTCGAACCGATTTTTTCGTACAGAACATCATTGAGATCAAATAATTTTGCATCCGCGGCACAACGTAAATCTTAATGTGAAGAAGTTTGTTATATTCGATTAATTGATACACATCGTACCTTTAATTTCCATGACGCCGCAAAATTCGAGTCTGGGAGGATTAATGGGAGTCTTCTCTCGCTTACGCTACTGCCCACAGCTGTTGCCCGTCTCGAAGGCGAGCGAAACGGAAAGAGTGAGACGCGCCGCGTCGGGCGACAGACGCTCTCGGAGGGGTAACGAATTGCAAATTAATAGCGAGCATTTACATTTCTGCTGGCGCAATGAAGGCGCACGTGAGGATCGAAAGTCGCAAGCGCGACGGCTTGGTTTTCCGGTTTTCCTTTCACGACATCTTCTCCAAATCTCAGCGTAACTCGGCGTCATATACATGTAAATCGTCGCAGCTTCTTGCCAGATTTGTTTCTTAAAAATTGTCGAACCGATTAAGAACTTGTGTCTTGTAGATTAGCGTCTTTACAACAGTCTAGTAGATTATTGCAATGAATAGTTGCTGTTTTAAGAAATCTTGTTAAGTGATCAAACTGATAAATTTTATCTTCATGGTGTTTTAAAGATATTTATTATCATCATTAGTATTATTACGTTATTTGTCAATTTAATTTATGATATTTCGTAATCCAATCTTCAACTTCAGTTTAGTTTCTATCGGTGTTTAAATACCGATCAATAATTAGCGCACAATTTGATGTAGGGATTCACAAAAATATGATATTAGATTACGAAAACCCATTTCTCGATCGAACATAAAAAACCTCTAATAAAGATTTGTTGTCACAAAGTTTTATATATAGGGTATAATTTTAACTTTAATGAAAGAATGATATTTATTGATTATTTTATTTTCCCATTTTGTTCTATTTTTTAAATCTTTTTCTTTCTAGGAATCGCTAATACCTCGGTTAAAACATGATGGACCAATCAAAAGTGCTTTTTCATGTTCTGATTCTTATAAAAAGTTTTTAATCAAACATGATCTTTTTTGTTTGTTGTGTTGGTAAATTTATGTTGGTATTTTTTATTGCATGGTCAATGAGAAATATAAAATATTACATCTTAAATTAAAAAAGTGAAAGGGAGAGAAAGATCGAGCATTCACGTTTTTACTAATTATATTAGAGTATTTAATATGCTATGTACTTAAAAGAACTTAATCTATTTAATTATTTTACTTGTTCGAGAATATATTTCAATATTCTTGTTATATCGTCACTTTTCAAGCAAAAATTTTTGCACATGTGCCTTCATGCGCGAGTGGTCATCACATCTACTTGGTCCACCGATCGATGATCGTTAATTGCAAGTCGTGAAAACGAAAGAGCTCGAAAGTAAGGGAAGGAAAAGTGGCGAGGGGTGAGTAGGAGGAGGTTACGAGAAGGTACCGATATTGAATTAGAAGCGATAAATCCCACCCTGCCATGCCGACTTCAGTATTGGGGCAAGAGAGGGCACGACGGAATAAGGGATTCGACGAGAACTTTGACTGGGTGGTCGCGAGTGGCGGGAACGGCGATAAAGAAAGCAGTGAAACGAATATTAAAAGTCGAAACCGATGTGATCGAGCGAACCAATCGGTCTCCAGTCCATGCGCGACCTGATTCAGGGAAAAACTTAACATACTTTCTTCTTCATCCCAACATATTAGACCTTTTTGATAAAAAAAATTATGTCTATAGATTTTAAAACAACCGTTAAAATAAATATTATTGTAATACATGATTTTTATAATTAAACAAAGTTTTTTAAACATCTTATATGGCACTGTAACGTCATTTCGCGACATATCGCGGATGTCACGATAGAAGACGCTAATCGGTTGTCGTGCCGACGGAACGCAAGGCAGCGCTTCGCGCGAGAAGCGCTATCATGTGCTTATCGCATGATCCTTGCTCAGAGAGATATAAAGTAATTAATTTAAATCCCACAATTCCCACAAATGCCTCAGTTACAGAAACAGCATCAACCCAGTGTATAGTATAGTAACGACAATCGTCAAATGTTTTCTATAAAAATTTCAACTGTAACCGCACTATAAAACATCTTAAGTAAATAATACGAAAAACCGTTGGATCGCACAGCGAGCGATGACAAAGAGTCGCGATACTCGACATAAAGTTATACATAATAACTAAGGCCGCAGTTGCAGCGTAAGCAAGTAGGCGAGCGACTACAGGATATGCAACACTTGAAATTCGGTTGTTAACCACCCTAAATTAATAAAAATCATTCTAAAAGAAGTTTCTAGAACAATTTTGTACACAAGGTTTGTATTTGTATATTGACGGGTCAGCTCTCTTTGCCGCTCAGGATCACCCCTTAAAGAGTATAGGTAAAAGCCGTACTCTCCGAGAGCGCGACGCACTTCGTTCCCAGATCTAAGTTGTTTAAAGGTCTCTCTCGCGCACTTCGTTTTCATAATTATAGGTACAATTAGCACTTCGTTTTTCAATTTAGAGTAATCTAAAAGTTCTTGTGAAAGCTAACATTTCATTTCTTGTTGCTTAAAGTTTCTCGTGGATTTCGTAAAAGCCTTTCTTTGGAGTAAATCACCTTGCTTAAAACATCGCCGTGTCACGTAGTTGATTTCGGTAAAATCCGTCGCCGTGTCTAAAAATCTCGTGCTTCTTTATTATCTCAGAGACTTTTCGAATCATATTGTAAGTTCTCCGAGTTCTCTTATTGTAAGCATTCCGTGCTTTAGAAATTTGCGTTGGGAAACCTTGCAGTTTCGTGTTCTCTCGAGAAAAGAAGTAAATGTTCTTCGTGGCGTAAGATCCACGAAAAGTTGCAATACGATTGCGTAATGAGAAATAAAACGTCGTTAAATATTAATTGTGAATCATAGTCATCTCGCACGCTCGAGTTTTGCTTTCGTTGTGAAAAATTTTGTTTTTCTTTCTTTCTCATCATTAAAACCGTAATTCAAAGTTCTTTTCCGTGTTTTGTTTTCTTTCTTTCTTTCTCAAGTCCATTCAGTGCAAAGTGCTTACATGTTGTTGTGATCCGCTATCTATCGGAATTAGACAGGGCCGTATAAACCAGGTCGGTGCCCAAAGGCGATGAGTTCCATACAAACCATGCCTACCAGCGACGGTAGAGTATCCTTTTCAACCGTACTATATCTCCATCGTCGTGAGCGTTTTTCAACGTGCACCGTGACTAGAGCGGACCTGCGTCCCACGTCCGTACGTACGACGGACGTAACAGGCACAAAATAAAAAAATATTTGTATATGTTGATAATTACAAACTAAATTTTAATTTATTAGACGTTACTTGGTTTTTATTTGTAAAATAATTAATTAGAACTCAATAGATTACTGTACTGGGTTGGCCCAGCAAAGCTTCGGACTTAAAATATATATAGTTCATTTAATGATTACAAATCCTACAACTTTTATTCAAAACTTTTTTTGAATGCCTTGTTCTCAAGTGTTTAAGTAAAAATGGCCAAACATGTTTCAGCCTAAGTCGGGTACAAAATTCATAAAATCTCAAGATTGAGATCATCTAAAATATATTTATTTCAAATATGATCTATGGTAACGTTAGGTTTTTGATATCTCTTTTGCAACGTATCACATTTCTTTGTGAGCGATTTTATTGGTATAAAGAAAAATACAGTCCTTTCGTTTTAGAAAAAGAAAAGTACAAGTGTTTTGTATTTAAAAGAGAAAGAGGATAGTTGTATCGATTTATACGATGTAAAATGTGATAGAAAAGGATTAATGAGAATACAATCCTTTTTGTGTTCGCAGAGCTGCGTGCAGTTTCTACGATCCAATGAGTCCGCCGTTCTTGAGGCCGTAGGGCTAGTACCGTCCGGCGAGTCCGTCGAGGTCTTTGGCGAGCATGGGGGTGCGAATGGGATCAGCGGTGGTAATCAGTGCTCCACTCATTACGCTATGCGCTCGAATTCTAATCCCGGCGCCATTCAGCACGCGGTGGGCAGCAACGCCGCGGGCGCGTTGCACCATTATCCTGGTGTTGCTCATGCACCGAAACGCCGTGCCTCCGACACCCCGTGAGTGTGAACACGCATCACCTTGTGTTCGTAGATGCATAGCAATGGTTCTCAATCAATGGACAGATCGTTATTTGGATTAATTATTCACTGCTCGAATTAATTACATATTTTAGACAAATTTGTAAACGAATGGATTCAATTTGGTTGGTTCGTTAATAGATAGCGATAATTTCAATTTGAAATTAATTATACGAGTCTATAGCGAAATGCAATACGAGTTTAGCGCGAGAAACTGACGGCTTTCGAAAGAAGACTTATTTAATTGAAACATATTGATTTTGATGAGAGATCCTATGGATATAATTTTTAAATAGTGTAATGATTTGAAATATTTTTTCACAATTTTATTTACGGTTTTGTTTTGTATACATAGGCTAAAATTATCGTATTACATTTATACTAAATTGAAGTGTTGCAATTTTTATATAGTTGAAAGTTGAAAAATATTTTTTTAAACTAATAAAAAAACTTTAGTGCACCTCCCATGTAAAAAGTAAAAAAATTAGTTCATTGCACGTATATTGACATCCCAAGCTCGTATTGGCCTCAAATTGAAATTATAATTAAATATAATTAATTATGTTATCATTCTAAATCCATTTCGCGAATCTATGAATCGGCAAACCTATTCTAATTTATAATTGATTCATAACTGATCATTTATTTCTTAGAATGCAAAGACCAATATAATTCTAATTATAATACATGTACTGAAAATATAACAAACACTATTTTCTGTCTATATATTATATGATCGATGAAGAAAAATATGCGCAACGAATAGATGTATGAATTACTGCGCAAATTGTGTTCTTCACGCAAGATCGTGTGGAATCTTTGCTCGTCCATAACGATAATTCACACGATAATAAACGCCATGCAGCTGCGGCTGCGCGTATATACGTGTGTGTAATACGTTTGCCAAACCGCAAATGCCGTAGTTTTGGAAAAATCTTGGCCGCCGGCCTGAATATCTCGCCGATATTTATTGCAATCGAATACCTATTAATGCGAACCTGATTCTGCATGTTCAACATTTCGTTAATATTGATAGTGCACGTGAAAGTAAGTCTTAAAAAAGTTTCAAAAAGTGATCTCAGCAAATCCAAATAAAAATGATTTATATACAGATTTGCATTCACATCTTACTTTTATCGATAATGCATCCATTTATCATATAATTTACATATACTACAAAATTTTGAAAATAAAATTTATTTATTGATAAAAATGAAGTGAGTACGGACTATAAAAAGGTCTAAGTTTCCAAACTTGTTTTAAAAACTATAGTTTTTGATAAATAACTTTGATAAATATTCAGATCGTATTTTTTTAGTATGTCAAACTATTAACTTTGTCTGCAATTATATTTTTATTTCTTTCGTCTCTGTAACTTGAGTTTTTTCATCTAGCCAAGTCATTCTACTGTTCTAGGTTTAAAAAAAATTTTATTCTTCTTCTTACATTTATATTACATATTACTGAATAGTCTTTTAACTCAAATATTAAAACCCTCATTTAATATAAATTAGTATTTGAGCAAGGATGAAGAAATTTGAGAATCAAATTTTGCTTATGCCAAAAAGGATTCAAAAATCCAAATTATAAACGAAGAGTGAATAGTTCTCGAATTATAAGCTTACGAATAGATAGAAGAGTAATTTCGGTCGAAATTTCTTAATGCGCACTTATCCCACTTACCATCCAACCGAGGTGTTGATGAAATCAACGCCGGACGGTCGGGATTTCCGGTCAGGATGATATGCACGTAGACGGAGTAGAAGAGGGAATGGGGCGCCACACGAAGCGAATACGAAGGCGACAAAACGCGGTGCGCGCCCTAGCAATGCCATCCTGGCCTCCTCTCGATATGTCTGTCGTTGACGTTTCCATATATCATCAGGGTACCACCTTTCCCAAACACCCCACCGTGCCCCCCCCGCGCAGCCTGCTACCCCTTCGCCTACGAGTGTCGACGAACTTGCCTCGAGTGCCTATTGGCATCCTGCTAATACACACCGTATAGAGCGCACACGTGTCGGCGAGCGTAGAGGTGTACACGTAGACAGTCGTCTTTGATTCGCAGGCAACCCTCGCACAAACTACTGAATGCCCGAACAATTTGCCGTGTAAAAGTAAAAGCGTTCTACGTATAACCGACGATATTAGGACCGAGCAAGTTGAAGAAAGTTCGCTTTTGTGGATGCATAAAAGGCATCATAAATCACATCGTCCTTTAATCTTTCTAATATTATCGATTAGTGTCTCATATCTTAAGGCGAAAAGTACAATGAAATAATGAATTAATAACAAATTTTACTCAAGAAAAAGCTGTAAGATTTTAAAAACACATAAAGATTAATATCATCAAGATCAACACGTAGCGTTCTTATATAATATACTTGCATAATGATATTACTTTCCACTTTTTCTTTCGCTGATGGATCTTCTGCGTTTCTAGATACTACGAGAATGGTGTTCTTATGGATGATACGCCGGTATATGGCAAGAGGTCTGTCAATCCTTGGAGTCATCATCAACAGCAGCAGCAGCAGCAACAGCAGCAGGCGACGGACCCGTCCTATTGCTGGTACCATCCGTTGCACTCCTCGGGCGGATCGATTCAAGGTCACGCGCACGGCCATGGTCACGGGCCGAGCCCGGTGCCGCCTAGTCTCGTGCAGATTAATCAGATAAACGCGTTCTCCACGCCGCATCATTTGACTCAGCAGCCACAACAATCATTGGGTCACGGTTTACAAACGCAAAACGGTGGCAGTCTCGATGACGAATGGAAAAATATTCATGTGATGCTCAACTGCATCCTCGGCATGGTCGAGAAGACGAAGAGAGCATTGGCGATCCTTCAGCGACGAGGATGCTCCAGCCCGGCAGCCGCGGCGCCACCACCAGGTGTGGTCGCGGCGCAGAACGGTACCAGCAATAATGGCAATAATAACGGCAATAATCCGTCTTCGACTAACGGTGTCCAAGTAGAGTCGTCCACTGGTGATCGGGATGGTGGTCTGAAGCGATTATCCGGTGAGATCGTCGCGCAAACGATCAGGGCGACTGAAGACAGGGTGGCCGAGGTCAAACGAAGAGCTGGTAGGTGTTCCGATGAAGTACGGTAGTATGTCCTGAAATTTTTTCACTTTCCGGAACATAACGATGAGTTTAATGGACTCACACTCAATTAGAAATTTCTTTGCAAAAAATGTTAATTTTTTTTATGTTATATCTGCAAATTTGAATTACTTTTATTAAAATATACTCAGTATTAATTTTTTAATGAGTTATGTCATTTTGATTTCTTAAATGTAATTAGTGCTTTGATTATTATAACATAAATTAAATGGGGGATTTTATGTATCCAGCATTAGTAACTATGTTACAGAGTTTAACCTTAACGTCGGAGAGAGGATTAATTATATCAGAAAGTTGTATCAATGAATCGCTTAAATTTTTAATAAATTATTAGATAGATTGCTATCTAATAATTCATTGTGACTGCTCGAATTAATTATTTTAGATAAATAATTGAACAGATTCAGAGTTTCGTTGGATTATTAACAGATAGCTATAATTTCCTAATTTAATAGATAATTTAATATTATAGACGATATATTAAACAGATTAATTTGAAATAATCGAAATTTAATAATTAAATAAGGCGGTATTAAATAAGAATGCTAATTGAAAATCGTTTCACTGGGATCTCTAGAGGAAGCTGTGTTAGAAGTGAAAAGGGCTGCAGTGGCGGAGGTGCAACGTGCCGTAGCGGTTGCGGTTGCAGAGTCGAGAGCGAACGAACGTTTGAGGGTACATCGATTACTGGATATTCCTCTGTCCCAAAGAAATCCAGGCAGTCTCCGTCAGGGCCCTTTCCTGAGAATTCACGGTAACTCAACCGCGGTTGAGGCCAGCACCAGGAATGTTACGACGCCGACGACGACACCGAATTCGGCGCCATCGACCACTGAGGACGAAAAAGATATTCACCTCACTAGCATGATGGGATCCGTAAGTGCAGTAGCCGTGCGATTAATTGATACTTTTACAAGAATTCTAAAATGCTGATTGTATTTAAATATAATTTTCTCCTTCAAGTAACAAAATCCATTTTTGTGTTAATATTAAATATTAATAAAATACATTGATATGATTGTGTAATTGACGTTATTATAGTAATGTTTTGTAAAATGGAGTAACTTTAGCTTAAATTTTGATAATTTCTAGACACCACGCATGCCAAGATCGAGACGATCTAAAAATACGTACAATATTCATAATAAAAAAAATAATTTTGGACATGCAGCTAACAATAAGCAGTTTTTAAAATTTGGGCAGTTATCTTCATTTTACTACGTAAAATATATTGCATAATCAGTTTTTCCATTTTTTGGCTATCAATCTCATCTCTCGCGATAGAATACAGTACCGATATGCAATTCGTATCACTTAATATTGTATACGGTTTTTTTTTTATTCCGTTGTTACTTAGAACTAGAAACTAGCCGAGCTATAAGAACATACGAATCCTCATCTCTTTTTTAGAGCTGTTGGAATTGCGGCAGGCCCGCCCTGGAGACCTGCGGTGGATGCGGGATTGCCAGATATTGCGGCTCCTTCTGCCAGCATCGCGACTGGGAAGCTGGCCACCATACGACTTGCAACAACTTGCCGCCGCGCGAATCGCGAAGATCAACCTCGCGCAGTCCACCAAGAATCGCCGCCACGAATCTCTCTACCAATATCAACGAAGTCGACGCCACGCCGGTGCCGTCTGCTGGGGTCTCGAAGGGAAAGTGACGTCGTGGTGCTAGGAGCAATCAACGATTGGTCAGAGCAATCGATTACGAGTCGCGCTGATCGCGTTTCCTACAAATAAAAACTCTCCTCTGTAAAGAATGTGTGAATTGAAATGAACCGAAAGGAACTCACTGTGAAATCGAATGCCTGATCCTCGAAATTGGAGATTGGCTTGAAACTGGGATATTCGTTTGTCCTCTTTGCTTTTCGATTGTACCTCTGCGAGAATTAAGACAAAAAGAAGGATTGGAAGAAGAAAGAGTCAATTCTGAATTTTGATAATTAGGTGTTCACACATTCACAAGATAAATTCCTGTGCCCATTTTTTTTTAACTCATTCATCTTCTACAGTGTTTTCACCGATCATACATCTTCTGCGTACACTTATCCTTTCCTTTCCGTGAAATTGACCGGAGATTTCTTTTGTACTACATCTGGATACGTGGGCAAGTATAAACTAGAATTACTCTGATCCAAAATCCACGTACTTAAGAAAAAGGTGACTATAAGCTTGTCAAGAATACCTGAAAACTGAACTAGCATTGGAAAATACTAGTTCGATGATCAGTTTACTCGCTGGATAGATCTCTAATTTCGGCGTTTCAGTCAATTCAAAATATGCGATATATAACACATGAATTATTTAACCAGTTAAAAAATCGCGAATATTTAAATAGGCTGATATTTATAGACGGTTCTAGTATATATTTAAGACTATCTAAAGTACAATCTTAAAATGTTGTAAGCTAATCACAGAGTTGTCACCATTATTAGCCTCTTAAAATATTATTTAAAGTGATTTTAAAATGAGAGCGGACTATGAATACCAGCCATGATCAACGAATTTGTGATGTTATTCATCTTTGGAGAATATATTAACCCTTCAGCAACGTGATTGCCTCTTTAAATGCATCATCGATATTTTTGTTGTGGGGGGAGGGAGAGAGAGAGAGAGATTCTGATAGATAATTGAAATCTGCATAAATTAGTAAAATACAATCTGACTTCTATGATGGTAAACAAAAAATTCAGTGTTAAAGCTTTAACAAACACGTATATCAGAACTTTTTCAGATGTTTTATACATCCGGAATAAAAAAATTTGCTTCACTTCTCGAAGACTTTTACCGTTGACGGAAAACTTTTCACATTGCGGAGGGTTAAAAGTTAAAATAATGTTATTTAAATAGTACGTATACGAATGTTCAAAAGACGAATAAAGGATTGGAGTATCTTAACAAAATTTGTGTTGCTCGAGCACGTTAAATACATTTGTAGTTTTAACACTTTAACAGCTTGAACAATTTAACAGTTTATTTTGGTCAGTTAATGACCAATCAATGTTAAAATAGTCAATGTTACAAATGCACAGAAAAGCAAATAAACTTCTTAAGATAAGATAATTATTTCTCTATAGATAACTAGATTATTTGAATGAAACGTCGGATATATGTGACAAATCCGTTTTAAGATTTTATCAATTAATGATACAAAACGAACACCTGATTTTACAAGTAGTGTAATCGATCACAGCGTTTTTCCGAATAACAAATAACGCCGGTGAAGTATGCATAGTATTGTCGTAAATGTACACGTTCAGAATCATGCCAGAACCGTTCTCCTTTTTCTCCTCCACCAAGAATCGCAGATTTCCAATCCATTTATTATCTAGGGTTAAACCAAACAAAATAGAAATAATGCGTGTCTTAAACAATCTCTGCAACTGAAAGAGTAATAGATAACCGTGAATCCGATCAATGAATCGCAGATGTGCGTTTCGTATTGTTCTGAATCGATATTATAGCGGTAAATGTAGCATTACGAAAATATCTCCCATTAGCGTAGACGTTTCTTCATTTCGCTGTTAACCAGTTAAATTCCTCAATATATACAAAGCGGAGTTGAAAAACACGCTCGTCCAATTAAGAATTACTTATTTGGACGCGATTTAGAAAAATGCATTTGCACTGCTCATTCGAAGCTCTTTAATGGAACGTAAAACTTTTACTATTCTTGATATCAGTTGATCTCGATGCAAAAAATTATAATGTTGCACGAGTTATTTAGTTTTTCTTCTCTTCTTCAAATGATCGAGTAATATGTGTTCTCTCACATTGATGTAACTTTTCACTATATCTCAATATTACACCGCAGAATATTATTATGAAAATAATATGTATTGCAAGATGAAGTTGATATATACATGCACACAACAAACATAGTTACAATATACATAAAGTGATTTGATTTTATTGTGTCTACGCTCATCTCGATGTTTCGTACATGAAGAACGAATCACATCGATTTTATCCTAGTCAATTGATAGGTTTAACGATTGTAACGATTGTAATGTAACTTGAGAAGTCTCGAATCCTTTACTTTGCGCGCACGCATCTCAGGATATGATTATCACGTATATTTAAGTCTAGTCAACACGGGAAGATGAAGTGGATTTATCGGTCATACGCGTTAGGGAACTTTGCTCAAATCTAGACTACGAATTATTGTAATTTTTCCTAGGCACATTACGTTGCGGGGATGTATGATGGATCCTATAAAGTGTATTTATAAACTAACGAAATATACGATTATTCTATGTCAGAATATAAGAAACAATACTAGTAGATTTTTTTATTATACCCTACAATTATAATGAGAGGATTCTCTTGAAATGATATATTACGATATGAGTTTATTATATTATAAATGAATTTTCATTTCTCATGGGTCTTTTCAATAATATCTGCAAACATTGCTTTCGTCTTTTCATTTTTCCCTTGCAATTGTGACCACTCCTTCTTATCTCTCGTGAACAAGGGGACGTTTAGTTTCATAGAAATAATCTTGCCTGATGTCGTGGAAATTAAGGATTGTCCAGCCGCGGCCAACTCCTCCATAATAAAGACTTTTTGATTCATGCGTGCCCACGCCCATATTTTATCCACGCACCTAGATCCGTGCGTACTTTTGGCTAATTCTGCCCAAGTGCCGTGCAACTTCTTACATAATTTCTCCCTACTCTTCTCGCCGACGTACTTGCTGTCCATGAAAGCATCCAGGATTCGACTTCCTTTCGGATCGCCAAATAATTGTAGTAATTCTTCGTTATTCATTTCTAGTAAAGAATTCACAGCTTTGATGGGTTTGTTGAACTTTAATATAACTTGCATTATCAAACTTCCATGTAAATGGAGAGATAGTTGTGGGTTACTTGATTCAGCTTCCAGTTGAGATGGTTTCTTTAAAGTTATTATACATCGTACAAGCAGAGTTTGATTTTCTGAGGATGCATCGCATTTTAGTAGATTGATCATTGCATTAACAAATGGACCTTGTTTCGTCTGCAATCTCAAACATGCATTTCCTGTGCTGACTAATATCCCGGTAAAACCAAGCTTGAGAATTTTGGGAAAGTGTTCTATTACTTTGTCAAATAGTTCTTCAAAGATTTCTTTAGTAACACAATAATCTAATAACTTTTGCACGCTGAAATTAGTATTTTGTGTTGAACATAAGTATTCTAAATTTTCAATAAAAAAGATATTATATAATTTTTTAAAGGTTTTCGGCTGTGCTACTATCAGACAAGCTTCCAGTATTCTAATAGAATATTCGGAATGAAATATGCTCGGTAGCTTCTCATCTTCTTCTACTTTAAAACATTTGGTTCTAATCTTCTTGATAATAGTTTTCGTTAAATTTGGATCAACATCTTTCAAAGAGTACAAAATGCATTGTATTAAACCAGAAGTTAATTGCTCCCGTCCAAACTCACAGAATTGCGGCCATTTCTGCAATCGGTCGCAACTCTGTATCAGCAAGTCTTTATATTCCTGTATCACAGGACGTCTTTTTGTGAGATCCGGCATGCTAGATTTCTTATTACATTCGTTAGGATCCTCAATTAATCCTGCTAAACATTCTATAACTGTTCGCAAGACGTGATTAGCATAAGTGTCAAATACGAATTCCTCACTATTGTTGAGAACATATTTGCTCAGTTTTAGAACAATATTGTTGTAGGACTGTATTTCAGATGGCTTAATATCTATGATAGTATCAACAGTGTTTTTTGATTTTGTGCTTGTTTTTTCGTCAGTGACATTCTCTGCGTTTGACTCAGGGTCTCTGTTGCCTCTGTCAGCACAGACTATTATTATCTTCTGTAAAATATGACTGGCAAATTTGTCGGTGCTTAATCGTCTCAGAGGGGACTCGAATGCCTGAGTTAGTTTTTGAATGGCCTCTAGGTTGGCATACTTCAGTAGAGAATCTATGACGCGAGATCCAACTTGATTACATGCACATTCAATCTCACGACCAGATATCTCCTGGTAGACATTTTGCGCAAGCATAATCTTCTCGGGCAAGGACGAATCATTACGTATTAACTCAAGAATACGAATTAGGTAGTGATAGGTGTCACGGTCCAGATTGTTGCCAAAGTCTTTCTGACGCGCAAGTTTCTTTACCATTTGTGTGTGAGAACGTTTCTTCTTTCGTTTCCTTTTATCGACTTCGTGTGCCTCCGCCATGCTGTCTGTTATATTAGATTTAAAAGAAATAGCTTAGATTAATTTGTAGCAAATTTATCATCATAAATTATATTACTCCGGAAATTAGTACATACTAAAAGCTGCTATATAGAAAATTAATTAAGTTATATATTTAACATTTAACAGAATTGTAATGTTATTTAATAAATAATATTGAAGTATTTAACGTTATTTAACAGAATATATTGTTTCATTAAAGTTGATTATATTATGCCACTGCACTCAGATACTTTACATAAAGCAGCCTTTAATGTGTACCAATTCAGAAAAGTCAACTGATCGAATTCATCGTTAATTTATACAACATGCTTTCTCTTTCTTTGATATATTACCTTTCTTTGTTGTCGCCTATGTGACTACAATCAAATCTATCAAATTAATGAAATTGATGACAATACACGTTATACACGTGGAGTCTGACTAACCTCTTTTGGCTGTCATTTTATTTGCTTCCTGCGTTCTCACCATTTCCCCCTAGCAGCTTTTTCCGTAACCTGAACCAAGAAGATGCCTAAACATTTGCTCTGTCAGTAAATTTCTTTGATGAAAACTTGGTATACCACTGTTGGTAAAGTATATTTATTTCACGCGCGCGCGCGTTGAGTGTTACCGATTCAGCGTCGATAAGTCATCAAACCGCTACTATGCCCCAGCGAATTAATGCTCCGCAGTGTATAAACAGTGTATTATATATATATATTTTAAGGATGTATTCCGAACCGGGTTAGTTAGTAAAATTTTTCTCAGAGATGACGGTTCGGAATGTAATCTAAAGAATGCATTCCAAATTACGCACGAAGCATCATTTGTTCTTGTTGTTTACCGAAAAATAAATAAGGATGAAATAATACATCATGCGCTTCATGCATAATTCAGAACGCATCCAAAATTGTTCAAACGTCAAACGACCGAGTTGAATGTTTGCGCAATTGGTAATCCTGTGCAACGATGACGTAGTTCCGGAGCTTCCGGAGTCCGGACTTCGGAGCGCGTAGAGTGTATACTGCATATACGTCCGTTTCGCGAGTGAGTGAAAAAGTTGTGAAAAAAATGTGATGGAAGTGAATCTCCTGGGAGCTATGCATCTTCGACCGTGTCGAATCGCATCGTTTCGGTCTGCAACAACTCGATTTACGCACACGTCGGACGTTTGGGAGTTTGGAACAGGATCACACAAGTAAGAATTCCGAGTCTTGAAATTGCGCAACTTTTAGAAGATAAAGTTTCATGATTGTATTCAATTTATGATTTTTTCAGGGTAAGTTTGGGCATTCGTCGGGGGAATTGTCACCGGCTTCAACAACGCAAGAAAAAGTAATCAAATTATTAATAATCATTTCGTATGCTATATTTCATGCAAGATATAATTTGAGTCGTTTCATTGAATTTTGTCTTACATTTTCGAATAAATTTTTATTATTCACTGAAAAAAATGTATTAAATTTTAATAAATCATTTACTTGAATATAGTAAAAACTAATTATTTATTAAATATAAAGATATGTACAAGAACCATTAATTAATTTAACAATTATTCTTTTTTATTGAACATTTATTTATTTTACGGAAATGTTTAGTTGGTACTATTCTAGTAAATAATTTATTAAAATTTAGTACACTATTTGTATGCTATTTAAATAAATATTTATTAAAATTTAGTACATTTTTTCTCAGTGTATTGGCAATCTGACAGTTATGTCATTTTACTTCAAAGTTGTATTTTTAATAGAATAGAATTTTGTTCAAGAATAGAATAGACTTGTTAAGTATGAATAATGATATTTCAACTCATTAAATAGTAAATGTTTTTTAAAAATGAAATGTATCTTTTTGAAGGAAAAGTGACATTATTTTTTAATACTTTATGTAGCCATTATCTCATTGATATTCAGTAAGAGATATAATTTATAATGTTATATTGCATTATATGTATATACTATATTTTCCAAATTAGCCTTTTATATTTATTTTATACATATTTTATCTTTATAATATCTTTATTGCGATAAAATATCAATGATTGCCCTGACTTTACCACGAAAAGTTACTACAAGAGAATCTATTAAAAAGTTTGGAAAGATTTTATACATGTTAAGTGTATTTTTTACATGTTAAGTATAAGGTTCCGATTAGATATACTTTTTGGCTATTATGTCTTTTTTGCGATACGTGTGCTATCTCTGTGTGACTTAGAAACTTTTCACGTATATACATAATATTTGCTCCCTAACTTTTATGTAATAGTATAAGTTAGTTGAATAGTTTCTGGGACGCCATCGACATTGCTTTCAATTCCTTCATACTGAGCCTTCTTCTTCGCGTTTTGTCGTCTTTGTTCGTCTTTCGTCATAGCGGTCAAAATGAAACCGAGCAACAAAGTCAAGCATAAGCCGATGTGCACTGGAATGTCGCCGTACATGTTCATTAGTAATCCTAATGATATAATGAGTATCATACTATACGTGCTGGTTGTTATATTGAGAACTCCCGCAGCTATATTTTCCGACTCTGGATACGTAAATTCGGTGCACAAATCATATCCCATTGTTAGATATCCCGACATAAAGTATCTGTAACAAATAATAGAAAGTAATAGATATTGCTTAAGATTTTTGGCACACAATGTTTAAAGTATATCAAACAAATGTAGTAAAAAGAACGTAATCTTATACGTTAATAAAAAAACAGTGAGATCCACAACATCATATCTTACTAAACTGTTAAAAGATTAACTTCTATTACTTTACACAATAATAAAAAATATAAATAATAATAAGTAATATTAATAATATCAATATTTTTAATAAATGTCGATATGTTTTACCCTAAGAAAATTGCCGACATATATACCATCCATTTTACACCCATGCAAGTAAATACAGCGAATAATATTTGACTACATAACGTAAGAAGATATACAGTCATGGCAGTTTGTCTGAAAATTAGAAATATGAAATATTGTCGATGCGATGATTCCACCGCATCTTTTAGGTTAAAATAAATTTTAATTGGTTTTTAAGACAATTGCAAATTTCTTCTTACTTGAATTTATGCGTTTTATCAAGGATGATACCAAAACTAATAGAACCAGCCATGCCGGTGAGAATTGTGGCTAAACCAATTCTGCCTGCATCTTCTTCTCCATTCTAAAATACATGAGCAATCATAAATCTATTTTGCCTTTAGATATAAAATATATCCAAAAATATATGAAAATATGTTTACATGTTGCTCACATATAAATTTATAAATATTTGTTCAAATTTGTCTCTTTTTAATAATTTTATCTGTTGCATTGAGATGGGGTATGTTAAGTTAGTACCCCAACTATAGTACTCAGGAGTTCTGATTAGAGTTCCCACTTCCTTTTGACGAGACGAAGAGTTCCCTATAGTTAATAACAAGAGTTCCGCTCAATAAACATTTTTTTACAATTTTTAAAAATGGGGTGCTAACTTTTTTTCGAATTTCGAGGTGGAATAGTTCTGAGCGGGTTAATAGCTTCAATTTGCGATTGCCTAGAGTTCCTGATATGTAAAAAAAATTTTCGAATATAAAAAAAAATTAAAAATTTTTGAAAAATTAATTTTTAGATACAATAGTTCTGATGATAATTTCTGATTCTTTTTGACGATACGAAGAGTTCTCTATGATTTTTAATGACATATGCGCTTAATAATCATTTTTTAATAATTTTTTAAAAATGAGGTACTAACTTTTTAACGAAATTCAAGGTCGCATAGTTCTGATCAGCTTAACAGAACTATTTTGTGAATACTTAGAGTTCTTGATACATAAAAAACATTTTTGAAGAATAATAAAGTTTTAAAAAAATAGTAGAAATCTTTGAAAATTTTTTTGAGAGTACCGAGTAGTTCTGAGTTGCGTTTCTTATAGTTCTCGACGAATTCTATCGAAAACTGTAAGGTGAAATAGCGATTGGACCAACGGTTTGTAAGATACAGCGACATTTGTTAAATTTGTAAGATCATACAATTTTTAAATAAGTATATCTCAGAAACCGTTGGTCCAATCGCTTTGAGCCCTGATACTTTTCGACAGAACTCGCCGAAAACTGTCCAGAACTCCAAACAGAACTACTCGGTACTCCCAAAAAATTTTCCGACGTGGGACTTACAAAAAAATTTTTGGTCAAAAATTTTTTGGGAGTACCGAGTAGTTCTGTTCGGAATTCTGGACAGTTCTCGACGAGTTCTGTCGAAAAGTATCAGGGGTCAAAGCGATTGGACCAACGATTTCTGAGATATACTTATTTAAAAATTGTATGATCTTACAAATTTTTAACAAATGTCGCTGTATCTTACAAACCGTTGGTCCAATCGCTTTTTCACTTGACAGTTTTCGATAGAACTCGTCGAGAACTATAAGAAACACTACTCAGAACTACTCGGTACTCTCAAAAAATTTTCCGACGTGAGACTTAGAAAAAAATTTGAAGTGAAAATTTTTTAGGAGTACCGAGTAGTTCTGATCGGAGTTCTGAACAGTTCTCGGCGAGTACTGTCGAAAAGTATCAGGGCTCAAAGCGATTGGACAAACGGTTTCTGAGATATACTTATTTAAAGATTGTATGATCTTACAAATTTAACAAATGTCGCTGTATCTTACAAACCGTTGGTCCAATCGCTATTTCACCTTACAGTTTTCGATAGAATTCGTCGAGAACTATAAGAAACGCAACTCAGAACTACTCGGTACTCTCAAAAAAATTTTCAAAGATTTCTACTATTTTTTTAAAACTTTATTATTCTTCAAAAATATTTTTTATGCATCAAGAACTCTAGGTATTCACAAAATACTTCTGTTAAGCTGATTAGAACTATGCGACCTTGAATTTCGTTAAAAAGTTAGTACCCCATTTTTAAAAAATTATTAAAAAATGATTATTAAGCGCATATGTCATTAAAAATCATAGTCATTAAAAATCATAGAGAACTCTTCGTATCGTCAAAAAGAATCAGAAATTATCATCAGAACTATTGTATCTAAAAATTAATTTTTCAAAAATTTTTAATTTTTTTTTATATTCGAAAATTTTTTTTACATATCAGGAACTCTAGGCAATCGCAAATTGAAACTATTAACCCGCTCAGAACTATTCCACCTCGAAATTCGAAAAAAATTAGCACCCCATTTTTAAAAATTGTAAAAAAATATTTATTGAGCGGAACTCTTGTTATTAACTATAGGGAACTCTTCGTCTCGTCAAAAGGAAGTGGGAACTCTAATCAGAACTCCTGAGTACTATAGTTGGGGTGCTAACTTAACATACCCGTTGAGATGAGTCTCGATGAATTAGCTCACCTCGAAGTGTGCGAGGAATATTTGATTGAGTAATGTAGACACAGTAATAAACACGCCGGTGTTCAAACCATAGGAATTACAGAGCATGATGAAGTTTTTATTTTTGCAGAGCCTTTTAATCGGCTCCACGAATTCCTCTCCTTTCTTCGTACGATTCATTTTCTGCAATGCCCGCGTCTCGCTGGGCGGTAGTTTTGGTTTGTCCTGAAATACTGATACAAGAACGCGTTGAGAAGATTAAAATGCGATAATCTTTTTTGGGGTGAGAGCAATCTTTAATTAATTAACGGTTGATCGTCCTTCCACTTCTTCTCCACTCTTTGTGTGTGATTATGTAGCTAAGATAAGTAAAACTAAAAACCCGAATAAAGGGATCGAGATTAAAGTAGATTATCAGCTATACTGAAAAATTTTACTACGTTAAAAATTTAATAGATATATTGAAGGATAACTTTTTGAAATTAACGTTAGTAGGGAATTATTTCGGTTTAACGGGCATAAATTATAAATGACTGACCAAGACACATTTAAATCTTATTAACCAAAATTAACACATTGCGTAGTTGTACAAAAGCATAGATTTTATTTTTACGTATGTTATATATACATCTAATTTTGAGTTTACATTATTTTATTAAGTTAAAGATTTTTTTTCCATATGTGTACACGATATGTACATGATACACATGCACGCACGCACGCACACACACATATAAAAGAGATTAGGAAGAAACTACGTAAACCTTTTTTATTTTAGCTCAGATCTGTTTCATCTTAGGTGAAAATTAAATACTTATATACTGCTGAATTTCTACTTGTTCTATTAGTTGATGCACTTACATGTAATCACAAGAGCGAATGCAATTGTACAGAAAATTGCGACTATCCAGCACAAACGTGATAAATCTTCGCCAATATCATCCAAATTATTGTGATTTTTTACTATTATAGGCCCTAAAAGAAAATATAACGCTACTCCAAATTGATTGCCAAAAATACTCAAAGATGTAGCGGTCGAGATTTGGTTGGCAGGAAACCATTGCGCAGCCAATCGTCCTGGTATCGGTAGGACCGTAGTCTAATACAAAATTAGTAATTACTACTTTCTAAATAAATTGCAGAGAATGTAGAGTAATGATATAATTACTAAAAAGGAGGAAAGTGAAAAAAGTTGAAAAGATATCAAGATTTTCTGTAAAGATTTATGAAGTAAATTAAAAGAAATGTAACCTGGGCGAGCGCGACTATTGAATGACCGATGAAAGCAATGTAGAACCTATCGGGTTGAATGGACAATGTTTTTATCCAAGCACCAAGGCAATTAAGACCAGCGCCTATGGTGATGGTCCATCGCAGACCGCACTTATCTGTCATGTACGACACTGGAAATATAAACGTCACGTAAAATGCCATGAACGACATCGAGGTCCAGTCAACCATTCTCGAAGATACTCCATAATATCTATAAAGTACACAAAGATGGACATTGATGGTTTTTACATTTAATTAACCATTTCATCAAAATTGTTTATTTTGAGATAAACGTGATACTTGGTAATTATGTTGGTTATAATTGAGTACTCTATCCATTGAGAATTCGATGCAGCATAAATCATGAAGATAATTAGCATTAGCCACCTCTTTTTATACACCTTCAATTTTAATGGTTCCACGTCGATTAGTTCACCAGCCTCTGTTATTTTAGTTGAATCTTTGTTTGTGAGTATTTTGCTTTGGTTTTCATCGAGGTTTTTATTTCCCATTATTGTTTTTTCACTCTTTTGCGAAATAATTTTTGTAAAAAATGTAACTTTGATGTGTATCTATTTAAAACCTTTGTCTATTTGGGCGTCATAATTTGGTCTCTGTCTCGATTTCGTTTCGTCTCGTCTCACGAGAGTTCTCGATTTTCTAGAGTCTCGGTGAAATACTAGGGAAAAGAGCAAAAAACATTTATCACTAATTACCCCCTCTAAAGTTGTCACTACCTATCCCAGGGACAACTGTTGCTGTTAAGAACCGAGTAAAATAAAAGGAAAAGTTAAATAACAATGATGTTTGACATTTTTCCAAAACCACAATAATAATAAGAAAATATTTATTCACATCGGTGCATTAACATCTATCAAAATATAGCTTCAAACACAACATAAATATCCAGGTGTTACCTTAAAATGTGAGGAGTCAAAATTCAAGCTTCTTAATCATCAACATATGATATCGCTGGTCACTATCTGAAAATATAACAACATAATCCGGAATTTCTTCATGTTAACGATCGATATTACAGGAGCTTGGTAAATTACAAATATTCAAAATGTCACTACTAAGTCCCCGTCACAATATGCCCCCCTCTTCCTTGGAGTTGAAACGTTCATTGACATTTTAAAGAATAAATGGATTAATGCATATTATTAACCACGCTGACTTTCATTTACTTAGTCTTTGGATCTCTTTTGTTTGATATCTAAGTTTAACAAATTTTTAATTTTACACTTTTCTTGAAATACATTTTCAATGCAAAGGCATTTAATTCTGAAATGCGTAGTGTACACCAAATTGTACAATTTTATACTGTTAATCTTGAGTAATAGTTTTATAAGCGACGAGACTTGGAATTGTATTTCTCGTTACAAAATTGTGCGGATTAATTTGAAAATGACATAATGATGTTAAAAGGATTGGTGTTGATTGTGGTTGAGATGAAATGTAACTGCCAGTTATGTAATATTTCTATTGCACAGATAGACTCGTTTAATGTCATGTGACGAATTTACCTTATCTATACACGAACAAATAAAATGACATTATTAGCTTAAGATTTAAGAAGATCTATACTTAGTCTTATCATGAGTTTTGTCAGATACAGCTGCATCATTTTTGTCCGATTTTAAAACAATTATGCGACACTATGCATTAATTATTTTATTTTACCAAATAAAGGAGTCAATAATTTATAATTTTAACTTATATTTATCAATTTTATTTTATTTTTGATATCGAACAATTTACACGTGTAATGATGTCTGTTAAGCTGGACCCTCCACCATCGAAAATCAAGTTCGCAATAGATCAAAAATTTAGTGCTTGTTAGGTGCTCATTTAGTATTCTACCAATCTTAGTGCTCCACCCGTTTAGTGGGAATTAAAAAAAAAAGAGAAAGTCCAGCTTGCCATTAAGCTGGACCGCCTCTTTTTTTTTATAAATAATTTTTAACAGTGCTTTATAGGAATCATGTCATCTCTGTTGAAAATCATTTAAGTTTATTGGAATGTTATATTTATTAATTTTGTTTTAGTAATAATTCTTTAATAGAGTATTTTATCGGCAATAATTTTTAAGATTTCTTTAGATTTAAGATGGTTTATCTTCGATAAATCATCAAACAAACAAATTTTATACGTTTTATTACGACAAATATTACAAATGTGTACTTTTTATATTGTTAAAATTTGTGAAATGGATCTTATATTAATAATTTTTTCTTTAAGTTTAATTTTTGTTTAATTTTTTTTAAAATACATTTATTTTACAAAATTTGTATAAAATAAAAACAAAAGAGCACTTAAGCATTAGGAACAAGAAAGAGAAATGATTGGTTAACGAGATAAAAGAAAAATATTGATTTTATCTTAAAATATCGAATAATTATACTAATTTTTAAATAGATGTTATTTCTCTACAGTCAGATAAAACAAATTTTTTATTTTTGTCTATACAATAAAATCTCTTGCATATTTGTAAGAGATTTAATATCAAAGTCATATTTAAAAGACGAAATTAGCACATTCGATGTTTCGGTTCTCGAAATTACAAACAAATTCTCTATACTTGTTTCAATAACTAGATCATAGATAGTAAATTTATATATAACATATCAGTGATATATTATATATCACTAATCAAATGTATATTGCAGTAATATATCTCTAATATTATAATAAATATACATCAGTAATAAATTAGTGAATGAGATAAACGTTTTTGTTATTCATTCAACGTGTATTTTGTGATACTCTTTACTTTGTATTATTATCTATACGATAATCTGAGCCGGTAGAAAAGGGAACGTATTGTAGACGTAGACAGGCCGATTAAACGCGAAAGAATTCGCGATTGCTAGAGCCGGATTCGTCGTCTCGAAATCGTCCTCGGATTGTTCGTTTGGCGATGTCGTGGGTTCCCTGCTGCGAGGTGTTGTCGTGGTTTTTACAGTGGTGGTCCGTGGCCGCGTGGTTGTAGTCGTGGTGAATAACGGGTCGCGATAGGTAGCTGCGGTATCTGGCGGTTCGTAGCTTTGTAATCCCGGAGCATCGTAATACGCATGCAATCGATTGTTGTTGGGATTAAAACGCCGGCCATTAGGACGCCAACCCCTGGGCTTATACCCCGATAAATCTGACGTCACCGCTAGTCCGATATAAAGGAGGACGAGGATGAGCTGGAAAAAAAAAAATACAATCGATTTAGTTTAAATAAAGAGAGACGATGTGACATATGCTCGAATAGTCGAGCCACTGTTATTTTTATTCGTTTATCCGATGTCCGCTTATTTATTTCGCGAATATCGAAAGCTGTTTCCTTTTAACAATGTTCATCATTTATCTAATGCACACTGTATGTTGTACACATCTACGTTTTTTAAGTAAACGAAAATAGAATAAGTATTCAAATAATTATAATCTTTTCGTACAGAAGTTTAAAACGTTTTACTTTAGCAAATAGAAGGTAACATATTTAGCAGAATTTATTTAAATTTGAAAAGTAGTAAAACGTTTTACCGTGAACTTTTGTCTATTAAAATACTCAGATTTCGTAAATAATATTTCATCGTTGCAGTGAACGTTTTGTTCATGACGAAAAGCAATTATCTATTGTATATCTCGCCGTTTCGCCAGCAGCGGATCAGAACTCTTGGCAAAAGCACTTGCGCACTGTTATTGCGTTACTATCATTATCCGGCGATCATATTGTTCACGATATTCCTTAGTGTGCCAGATCCGCTGTTTAACGAGGCCATTAACAGTTTCTTCGGTAACGAGAGAAATACACGCGCCGAATATCTTTGCGGGAAGCAAATGGAATATACTATTAAATTGAGTATGTTCAATTATACTCAACTTAAATGATTTTTAATTATTTCTATAAGTCGCTATTTTTTTCTTTAATATAATCTTAATTTATTTTAACTAAAACAATCAGGTTAAACAACTTAACTTATGAAAGTTCTTCGGCAATGAGAGAAATGTACGCGTTGAATACCTTTGCGGGAAGCAAACGGAATACATTTTTAAGTTCTCATAATGTCTAATTAATAAAAATAACAAAAGATTATTCAATTAAACTGAGAATTATTCAATTAAACTAAGAATAGAATGTGAGTATATAATCAATAGGAGATAAATGCTTTTTAACGGTCTAGTTGGATATTAAACATTTCTATAATTCTATGTGAATTTAAATACTACATATGTAACTTTAAACTGCGCGTCGAAATGATTTTTTGGTCTTGAAACGCAAACTCAATTGAATCACGGAATTACCTCAGTAACATCGCAAGTTAAATTGTGTAGTAATTTAATAATTCAATGCCCATGCCTTTATGGTGCAAAAGCTTAGAACTCTTGCACGGAATACAAAAGACTCGGGTTCGATCCTCGGCCGAGGTAATATTTTTCGTAATAAAATTATTTACAGATTTTAAGATGTTTATGATCGAATTATTAAATTTTGCTAGTCAATAACTATTATATTGCGGTAGTTCAATGTGGAGTTTGCGTTTTAAGACCGAAAAATTACTTCGGCGCTCAGTTTAAAGGACTACATACTTACGTAGTATATAAATTTACACAGAATTATACAAGCACTTAAGATCCAACTAGACTGTATTAAAATGCATTTATCTTCTGAAAGATTAATTAACTGAAGGAATTGGGTTATCATTGCTCCTTTGATGTCTAACAGTGATATACTATTTTACCGTCTCCCTCATTTTTGTCGATGTTAATATCGCTGCCAAATGTACACTGAAAAACTTTGGACTGGTCTTTACTGAACCGCTGATTCTGTCTTTATATGCGAAACTACCGATGTATCAGATCGGTGCCTAAGCTTCGTGAATACGAAACAAGGTGAAGACGAAAACGATTTCGTTTTTCGTTTCGCTGCTATTTCGTAATACGGTACTCATATTACGTGTTAAGAATGTTCGCGGCGGGGCGAAATAATGTCTCTGTTGCTATATTCTGGATATATATATGTCAATTTTACGTCAACTTACGGTCCAGTTGATTTCGTTTCGCTTGAAAGAACGGAACAATAAAAAGTCGTGACGTAAGACGAATCAAACATGATCGAGCGTATGTTCCTCGGCACGTTTGTATTCTCTTATAACTGTCGAATTTTCATATCTGAGTTGCCGCAGTGAAATGTTACGTATATACCTACATACATTGGTATATATGAATAGATATCTGGAAATACGGCGTAACGTTTTACTATCGTGATAGAATATATTCCGCGGTGTGTTTCTCACCGTGTACCAAATTAGTGATTTGGATGCTGATAAGCACTGCACTCGAATTCACAGGAAGCATCGGCAGCGAGTTTTCAGGGAAATGAAATATTCTCGAGTTTATGTGTGCAGGATAAATTATTACATTTTTTTTTGCCTTATTTCAAGAGTTTAAGATAGTAGAATTGAAATTAATAAATAGAAGGATGTTAATTATGTCAGAAAAGTTATAGTTGGTTTGTGAGATAGTTTTTATACGTTCTAAGAATGAAAACTATAATTTAGATAATAATAATAACGTATTTACACATGTGTGTTCATTGGTGAGGACGGATCAATGTTTTTCATATCATTTGGGTGTTTTAAGCATGGGAACGGGAACACATCCATTGTAGCGGGTGTTGTAATAGCTTGCGTGAATTAAGGACGTGTCTGGAATTTAAGATCGCGCGCGCAACTGTGATGCATACCTTATGAATTCGTAAGATCCGCTGTTTGTTCGCCTATATACAAATAAATTCGCTCGAGACGATTCAGAAACGTGGCGCGCGAATTAATCGTCGATTTGACAGTGATGTTGAGTGACGACGTTAATCAGAATTCTGACTTGTTCGTACTTAGAACTTGCCGACTGACGCGTGTCATCAATCGCGCATCACAGCTTATGAAGCGATATTTGCTCATGATATTCGCTTTTACCAAGATTTTCATCTTATTTAACTTGCTTTATTTTAAATTTCGATCTTCTTATCATTTACTTTGCAAGTGTCACTCATCACATTTAATATAGAAGATATATTTGAATTAAATCTTAACGTAAGAGAAATTCTTCAATATGAAACTGAAACTCGATTATTCTTTCTTTGATTTAATTTCTAGCTGAAAACAGATGTTTCATAAGAAGAATTATAAATGTTTAATCTTTTATTTAATTAAAATTCTGATCATATCGATCAAAATTTTTATTATCTCAATTAGAGTTATAATAGATTCAATCAGAAAATTTGTCCATTTTATTCAACTAGAATTTCTTAATGAGTCAAACTTTTCCTAATATTTTTTTTACTTCTTAAAATGGAATATTATATTTGTGCGTTTTTGTTATATGACAAATTTTTTTAGCCTATTGATTGGCTATAGGATAGAGATATTCGAGAACTTTTTTATCCTGTAGCCTTTGTCGTATGACAAGAATGCACAAATGTATAATATAATAGTTTTCAAAAGATGTAGAAATGTTTGCGCGTAAAGATTTTGCTAGCGCATATCTGCGTGCTGATATTTACTACTGCAAATAAGAAGAGGGAAATAATTTCCGTATTAAAAATTTTGACGTTCAACTTATTTTCATGTCGTATTTGTGCGACAAGAAAGATAAATAGAAAAGACGAGCAGCGTGCGGTGCGCTATCGTGCGCCTCGCGAAATCGAGATAACAACGCTGTCGCAGACAGACGACATGAGTGTTGGATTGATCGAAAGCATACGATATAATAGTCCGCGCGTCGAGAGAACTTTTGTTCTCTGATTGAGTATATCAAGTATTCTGATCGAGTAACAAGTGGTAGACGCGTCCGTCATGTCACACGTCAAATGCAGCGTATTATGCGGCGTTCATTTCCATGGCTTTGTGATATCTAAAAACAACGCTGAGGTTGTCCTGCTCTTTGTCGATAAAGATTTCGCGTTAACGCTCGAAATGGCTTTTCCTATTCATCGATGTGCGCATGGCAGAATCGATACGACTTTTGCGTTCTTACATTATTTTCCGACGAGATGTTTGAAGATAATTATCAAGATAGAACTTTTTTTAGTATCTAAAAGATTAAAATTAGTATATAACATAGGAATATTCAATAGAGAGAGAAAAAGAAAAAACTTTGACAGAGAAAATATTGCTTCGCGAAATAACGCGTACATAACAAATATAATATTTCTTCTTTTGTGATCAACAATTACCGATAAGCTTCAAGCTTTATGTAACGTATGTTTTACAGTTGTGTAAAATATGAGAAATTTATATATATTTTATTACCGTTTATTTAACTATATTTAATATGAATTTTTATTTAAATTACTCAAAAATATATTTCAAAATTCAATCGAAATATCTCCATTCTGTCATTTGTCATTTTGTATTTGTATTTTATTTGTAATTCTCATTTTTTCACAATGATTTGTGTCACTTTTTGCAATACCGTTTATCACAGATACGGTAAACGCTAAAGTCACGTTATCTTTTTCTTCAAACTTATTAAGAAAAAGATAATGTGACTTTAGCGTTCACCGTATCTGGGATAAACGGTATCGCAAAAACTCTAATAACGCATCACTCGCGTATCATGTCGAGCATGTCGAGACGCAATCCCCACACCGCACATTTGCTAAAAAGATGTGCGTGAAGTTAGCACCGTCATTTCGAAAAAAAATAAAATAAAATTTGTGTTGAATTGTGCTAGATTCGTGTTACATTGTGCTGCAAGAATTAATGACATAACTCAAAAAACAAAGCGTTAAATTGAAAAAAACGTTTTTTTCGCCAGCACCGCCATTTTGTTTAATCGGCAAAATAAACATTGTGCTGAGTTGTGCTCGATTTGTGCCACATTGTGCCGCAAAGATTTCAGCCGTTCTTTCATAACACCAAATGTTATGACTAAAAATTATAGTTTTTCCCTCCGTGTTCGGTTTTTTGCCCATAAATCGGGTTTGTCTCTTAAAAAGAGAAGATTTAACATATGGTTTTCTTAAAAAGCAACGTGTAAATTTTATATGTGCATATAATATGAGATTAATTTTTTTAGACATTTTATTTTATTTATAACATATTATTCAGGATACATTGACAAACATTAGAACATGAACAAAATTATATTGATTTGGAAATTTCAGTAGCATCTCGAAAGATTTAAAATTAATATATTTATATCTATTAAGTAACGCTATAAGTTATATAGTTAAGTTTTTTCTCGAACGTCATCGATGTATTTTTCAATTTTTGCGATTTCTGTATATTGAGCCTTCTTTCTTGCATCTTGTCGTCTCTGTTCATCTTTTGTTATAGTGGTCATAATGAAACCGAGCAACAAAACTAAGCATAAACCTATATGCACCGGAATGTCGCCGTAAGTTTGCAGTAATAATCCTAACGATATAACGAGTATAATGCCGTAAATACTGGTTGTTATATTGAGAAATCCCGCAGGTATATTCTCCGACTCTGGATACGTATATTCGGCGCACAAATCAAATCCCATTGCCAGATATCCCGACATAAAGTATCTGTAACGAATAATAAAATGTGATATTCCTAAGACTTTTAACAGATAACATTTAAAATATATTAAATAAAATGTATTGGAAGTGTGCATTAATTTTAAAGGATTTTCAAAAGATGGTGTAATTATATCGCATCGGGCAATATTGTTCCTACCTTCATGTCAAAGCACTATCATGTGACTTCAGTTTTCAGTACGTGTCATTTTGCCGAAGTGTAAACAATATTGTTTTTTTGAGCACTAAACATGTCGAATTTTGTGCCAACAAAACGCAATTTGCGGTAAACTTTGCTTTTTTATTTTCATTTGAAGAAAAGTGCTGCTAAAAGTCAACGAATGCTGTCGGAAGCTTATGGTGATTATACTCCATCGATTTCAACATGTGAATACTGGTTTTGATGCTATAAAAAAGGTGATTTTGACACGGAAGACGAAGAACGTCCAGGCTAGCCGAAAAAGTTTGAAGATGAAATGGAAGCTTTACTTGATGAAGACCGAGTTAAATGCAAGAAGAACTTGCAGAATCATTAAATGTTGATCGATCAACGATTTCCAGACGATTTGAAGGCTATTGGAATGATTTAAAAGCAAGGAAGTTGAACACCGTACGAGTTAAAGTCGAGGGACGTCAAAAGGTGCAAAATGACCTGTGAATTGTTGCTTCAAAGACACAAAAGAAAACGTTTTTTGTATCGTGACGAGTGATGAAAAATGGATGCGCTACGATAATCCGAAGCGCAAAAAATCATGGTGCAGGTCAGGCGAGTCATCAACATCAATGGTAAAGCCGAATATTCATGGTGCCAAGCTCATGCTCTGCATTTGGTGGGATCAGCTGAGTATAGTGTATTATGAGCTGCTCCAACTCAACGAAATCATCACTGAGGAACTAACAACGATGCAAATGAGCCGAGCATTGAAGCAAAAACGACCAGATTACGTGAAAAGACATGATAAAATGATTTTCCAGCACGACAACTTTCGGTCACATGTTGCGAAACCGATCAAGGAAACGTTAGAAGCGCTTAACTGGGATGTCCTACTACACCCGCTATATTCTCCAGATATTGCTCCTTCCGATTATCACCTATTTTGATCGATGACTCATGGCCTGTCTGAGCGCTTCCATTCTTATGAAGATTTAACGAATATCACTCATAACCCAAAAATGGGTCGATTCGAGGATAATCTAAAAAGATGTGTCGTTCTTTCGATGTGGAATCCCTCTACTTCCAGAAAGATAGGAAAAAGTAGTGGCTAGAGATGGGCAATATTTTGAATGATCAATTTGTAATCATTTTTTCACAATAGAGCCGTATTTTTACCAAAAAAATCTCTTAAAATTAATGCACACTTCCAATAATAAAGAAGAATCTAAATAAATATGATCAAACCGAAACTCTACTATTGTTTTATATCACAATTTCACAATTTATTTTATATGCCTCGAAAGGAAAACGTTAAACGTTAATAAAAACAGTAAGAGAGCAATAATTACATTTTACTAAATTATTAAAAAATTAATTTTTGTTGTTTTACACAATACATTTTTGAAATATTAATATTTTTAGTATGTGCATAAATAAGTATGTCGGTATATTACCCTAAGAAAATCGCCGATACGTATACCATCCATTTTATACCCATGCAAGTAAACACCGCGAATAACATTTGACCACAAAATGTAAGAAAATATACAGTTACAGCAGTTTGTCTGAAAATTGAAAATATAAATCGGTGCCGATGTTTCCAGGGCATAATTTACGATAAAATATAAATTCAAATTGGATTTTTGAGACAATTGCAATATTTTTTCTTACTTGTACTTATGCGTTTTATCAAGGATGATACCAAAACTAACAGAACCGGCCATACCGGTGAGAATTATGGCTAAACCAATTCTGCCTGCATCTTCTTCTCCATTCTAAAACACATGTGTTATCTATACACATCTTGCCTTTAGATACGTGCGTAAAAATACATTTATAATAGATATTGCTAAAATAAATTTATAAATTTTTTTTTTTAATTTCTCTATTTTTAATAATGTTCGATCTGCCGCATCGAGATTCATTTGTTCACCTCGAAGTGTACGAGGAATATCTGATTGAGTAATGTAGACACAGCACTGAACACGCCGATGTTCAAACCATATGAATTACAGAGCATGATGAAGCTTTTGTTTCTGCAGAGCCTTTTAATCGGCTCTATGAATTTCTCTCTTTCCTTCGTCCTATTCATTTTTTGCAATGCCCGCGTTTCGCTCGGCGGTAGTTTTGGTTCCTTCTGAAATACTGACACATAAGCACATGGAGAAGATTAAAATGCGGTAATCTTTTCTAGGATATGAGCGATTTTTACTAATTTAACTAATTAACGATTTATCGCGCCCTTCCTTCTCTTCTCTTTTTCTTTTGTGTGATTACCTAGTATTCATTTTATATATAGTATATCTCCGTTAGTTGTAATTTTCCATTCAACAATTTAACTGTTCACTGAATAGTGATGGTAAAGATAAAGGCCCGTATAAAGTGACCGAGAACAAAGTGGTTAATGTATTGAAAATGTTTTGTATTAAAAAATTTTTAACTACGTTAAAAGTTTGATGAATATATTGAGAAAAAAGAGTTTTTTAAACAAATATTTATAAGTGATTACTTCGATTTAACGAATATCACTCATAAATGATTATCTGCAAAACACATTCAAATCTCATCTACTAAAGTTAACATTGCATATGCAAAAAAAATCAGAGTTTTATATTAATATTATATATGCAATACAAGTATATATAATTTTGTTTCTTCATTATTTTATTAAGTTAAGAAATGGTTTTCTATATGTGGGAGGGTATAAAGGAACTAGGAAAATATTTTACATGTCAGTTTAGATCTGTTTCATTTTAAGTGAAAATTAAGCACTTAATATTGATAAACTATTTGTTCTACTAATATCTATTAATAATAGATAATGAACTTACATGTAAGTATGAGGGCGAATGCAACTGTGCTAACGATTGCGACCATCCAGCATAAACGTGACAAATCTTTGCCAATATCATTCAAATTATTGTGATTTTTTACTATTATAGGCCCTAAAAGAAAACCCAATGCTACTCCTAATTGATTGCCGAAAATACCCAAAGACGTAGCGGTCGAGAGTTGAGTAGAAGGAAACCATTGCGCGGCCACCCGTCCTGGTAACGGCAGGACCATAGTCTAATACAAAATAAAGTAATTACTACTCTCTAAATAAATAAGGCAGAGAATATAAAGTGATAATATAACCATAAAAAAGAGCAAGGGAAAAATTTATAACGACTTCAAGATTCTTTTATAGAGATTAAGAAAGTAAATTAGGAGAGGTAACCTGCGCGAATGCGACTATTGATTGACCAATGAAAGCAACGTAAAATCTATCTGGTTGAATCGAAAACGTTTTTATCCAGGCACCCAGACAGTTAAAACCGGCACCTATGATGGCGGTCCATCGCAGACCGCACCTGTCTGTCACGTATGATGCTGGAAATATAAATGTCGCGTAAAGTGCCATGTACAACATCGAGGTCCAATCAACCATCATCGAAGACACTCCATAATATCTATATAATACATATAAAAAATACTAACACTTTTATTGTCAAAATTGTTCATATTTTGCAAGAAATTGTTCATATTTTGCAGAAATTACCTAGTAACTACGTTGGTTATGATCGAGTATTCTATCCATTGAAAAGAATTCGATCCAGCATAAATCATATAAATGATCAGCATTAGCCACCTTTTTTTATATAGTTTTAATTTTAATGGTTCACCGGATTTTGTTATTTTTGTTGGATCTTTTATTGTGAGTATCTCGCTTTGGTTTTTATCTTCCATTATTGTTATTTTCACTTTTTTTGCAAAATAGATTTCTTAAATTTTATAGTTACTGTACATCTATTTAAGTTGATAAGATTTCAATACTGCATTTTTCTCTAATTGTTTTTTAATAAATGTAAAGATATTTAATTTTAGAAATTGAATAAGTATATTTGAAATTGTACAATTTCATAACATTAATTACACTATCAGTGATTTCCTTATCATATCTTGAATAACAATTTTATAAGCGACGCGATTTAGAATTGTATTTTACGTTACAAAATTTTTAACACTTCGCCAATTGAGTTGAAGTTGACGCAACATTTAAAGAATTGGTGTTGATTGAGACGAAATATAACTGAGCGTCGTGTAATATTTTCGATGCACAGACAGATTCGTTTAAAGTTATAGAACGAATTTATCTTATCTGTTCATAAACAAATAAAATGACATTATTAGCTTAAAGATTTAAAAAGATCTACTTAGTCTTAACACACGATTTTTATCAGATTCAGAAGCTGCAATTTTGTATGATTTTAGAGCAACTGTGCTTAAGACAAATTGATCATAATTTCTAAAAAGAAAATTCGTCAAGTTTTAATCTCAATTAAAAGATTTACATATATAGTATATTAATTTACATGGATTTATATTAAAAGCTTCCAAGATCCAGCTTGACCGGAAATGGCTTATTCTCATCGGTATTTAGTTTTAATGTTATGCAAGATTCTCGTTGATTATTTTGTTGAGGATACTATGTTATATTAAAATCTTTTTTTCTTACCATACTGTACAGTTAAACTTGTTGAAGAAATCTCTGTTTTTTTTTATGGTAGAGGCACTATTAAAGTATGCGCCATATTATTTGTTAGTAAGGGTTCCTTTTGCAAAAACAAATGATTTAATATATGGTTTTCGTAAAAAGCAAACGTATAATTTTCATTTGCGCCCACAATGTGAGATTAACTTTTTTAACCATTATATACGTATTGTTTAGTTTAGGAGGTGAAATATTAATAAAAATTAGAGCACCTATAAAATCGTATGTCGATTTAGAATTTTATTAGTACTGAAAGACTTAATATTACATGTGTCTATTAAGTAATGTTATAAGTAAGTTCATTCGTTTCTGATATGCTTTCGACGTTCTTTTCAATTCTGACGATTCCTTCATACTGGGCCTTTTTCCTCGCGTCTTGTCGTCTCTGTTCGTCTTTTGTTATCGTGGTCAAAATGGAACCGAGCAATAAAGCCAAGCATAAACCAATGTGCACCGGAATGTCGCCGTACATGTGCATTAATAATTCTAAAGATATAATGAGTATGATGCCATAAATGCTGGTTGTTATATTGAGAATTCCCGCAGGTATATTTTCTGACTCCGGATATGTAAATTCAGTGCATAGATCATACCCCAGTGCTAGGTATCCCGACATAAAGTATCTGTAACGAATAATAGAATGTAATAGAGATATCCCGTAAGACTTAACAAATAACATTTAAAATATATAAAATAAAATATAATAAAGGACCCAAATAAGTATGATATAAAACCCTACAATTGTTTTATATTACAACTTATTACATTGAAAAGAAAACTATAACGTCAATAAATATAGTGAGAGCAACGATTACGTTTTACTAAACTATGAAAAAGTGAAATACTTTTGTTTTACGTAATATTGTACATTTTTGAAGTATTCATATTTTTAATATGGGCATAAATAAATATGTCGGTATATTACCCTAAGAAAATCGCCGATACGTATACCATCCATTTTACACCCATGCAAGTAAACACTGCGAATAGTATTTGACCACAGAATGTAAGAAAATATACAGTCACGGCAGTTTGTCTGAAAATTGAAAATACATATCATTATCGATCTTTCCAACATAATTTATGATGAAGTATACTTAAATTAAATTTTTGTGGCAATAGCAAATATTTTTCTTACTTGAATTTATGCGTTTTATCAAGGATGATACCAAAACTAACAGAACCGGCCATACCGGTGAGAATTATGGCTAAGCCAATTCTGCCTGCATCTTCTTCTCCATTCTAAAACGCATGTGCGATCATACATATATATTGCTCTTAGATATATAGGTAAAAATATATGAAAATATTTTTCTCAAATTTTTCTCATTTAACATTTGATCTGTTACATTGAGATTTATTTGCTCACCTCGAAATGTGCGAGAAATATTTGATTGAGTAATGTAGACACAGCGTTTAACACGCCGACGTTCAAACCATAGGAATTACAGAGCATGATAAAGTTTTTGTTTTTGCAAAGTCTTTTAATCGGCTCCACGTATTCTTCTCTCTTTTCCGTCCGACTTATCTTTTGCAATGCCCGCATCTCATTCGGTGGTAATTTTGGTTCATTCTGAAATACTGATATGAAGGCATATTGAGAAGATTAAAATGCAATAATCTTTAATCCTCTTCTTCTTTTATGTAGTTACCTAAGGTAAAGTAAAATAAAAATCCGAATAAGGGGAATTAAAGTGGATTATTGGCTGTATTGGAGTAATTGATTACGTCAAATTTATAGTCTGTCTAGTAAGAGCGTGGCCTATCTCAAAGAAAAATGGCTTATTAGCCTTAAATTTATATTGATTGTATTCAATAGGAGGATTATGGCCAAAATTCATTTATATTAATAAGGAGTCCAGTCACCAGCTGCGTCTATAATAGACTGGCAAAGAGATCGCATATTCACGTGGTAAAAACCTCCAGATTCGTCGAATTTCGTTTTTTAAGCGCGAAATATACCTTGATCAAAAAGTTCCCGGAATTACTACCAGGTGATGCTATGGAATGAATTCCGGGAACTTTTTGATCAAGGTAGTATATTTTATATTTAATATTAGTAATTGAAATATACAATATTATGATTCTTTAATATTTTATTAAGTTAAAGTACGATTTTTTACGTGTGGGAGAATAATAAAAAAGACATAAAAATATTTTTCCTAATAGCTGAGATCTGTTTCATCTTACATGAGAATTAAACACTTATACTAACAAACTGTTACGTGTTATATTAGTAATACATGATGAACCTACACGTAAGCACAAGAACGAATACAATTGTGCAGACAATTGTGACCATCCAACATAAACGTGACAAATCTTTGCCGATGTCATCTAAATTATTGTGATTTTTTACTATTATAGGCCCTAAAAGAAAACCCAATGCTACTCCTAATTGATTGCCAAAAACACCTAAAGAAGTAGCTGTCGAGAGTTGAGTAGGAGGAAACCATTGCGCGGCCACTCGTCCTGGTAACGGCAGGACCATAGTCTAATACAAAATAAAGTAATTATTACTCTCTAAATAAATAAGGCAGAGAATATAGAGTGATAATATAACCATAAAAAAGAGTAAGGGAAAAATTTATAACGACTTCAAAATTCTTTTATAAAGATTAAGAAAGTAAATTAAGAGAGGTAACCTGCGCGAAGGCGACTATTGATTGACCAATGAAAGCAACGTAAAATCTATCTGGTTGAATGGAAAACGTTTTTATCCAGGCACCCAGACAGTTAAAACCAGCACCTATAATGGTAGTCCATCGCAGACCACATTTGTCTGTCATGTACGACACTGGAAATATAAACATCACGTAAAATGCCATGAACGACATCGAAGTCCAGTCAACCATTATCGAAGACACTCCATAATATCTAAATAGTACACAAAGATGGACATTGACGTTTTTACATTTAGTTAACCATTTCATCAAAATTGTTCATATTTTGAGAAAAATGTGATACCTAGTAACTATGTTGGTTATAATCGAATATTCTATCCATTGAGCAGAATTCGATCCTGCATAAATCATGTAAATGATCAGTATTAGCCATCTCTTCTTATACACTTTTAATTTTAATGGTTCTGCGTCGATTGGTTCACCAGATTTTATTATTTTTGTTGAATCTTTTATTGTGAGTACTTCACTTTGGTTTTTATCTTCCATTATAGTTATTTTCACTTTTTTGTAAAATGAGTTTTGTAAATCAATGTTTTTGATGTGTCTATCTATTTAAGTTAAAATATTTTAATATTGCCTTTTTCTCAAATTATTATTTCAATAAATGTAGAGATATTTAATTCTGGAGTGTGTAGTATACATATCAAATTTTACAAGTTTGCACCATTAATTTTACGTTCAAAATTGTTAACTGCACTAAAAATTTGTTTATTGTATCTTGAATAACAAGTTTTATAAGCAGCGCGATTTAAAATTGTATTTCACGGTACAACATTTTTCATATTTCGTGAATTGATTTTCAAATGACGCAGCGATAAAAGGATTGGTGTTGATTGAAATTGAGATGATATGTGACTGCTCATGTAATATTTCCGTTGCACAGATAGATCTGTTTAGTAATGTCGCCTAACAAATTTACCTTATCTATAATTGAACAGATAAAATGACATTATCAGAGCTTAAAGATTTAAGATCTGTACTTAGTTTTTTACGATTTTTATCAAATTCAGAAGCACTTTTGTACGATTTTAAAGTAATTGTGTGACAGTATGCATTATTTTTTTATTCATGCTGTATCGAACAACTTGCACATGTAGTGTAAATATAAAATGTGCTATTGCATTTATGTTTAAACAATTGAGACTATTAAGACAAAAGTTCGATATAAATCATGTAAATTGCTGTTGGATAAGATTATTCGAATGAGATAAACATCTAACTCATGTGACATTATATTTCCTAATGAATGCATATCGAACTGAGATAAACTAATATGTACGTCTAAATTTACAAAATAGTTCTGTTAAGCTGATCAGAACTATGCGACCTTGAATTTCGTTAAAAAGTTAGCACCCCATTTTTAAAAAATTATTAAAAAATGATTATTAAGCGCATATGTGTCATTAAAAATCATAGAGAACTCTTCGTATCGTCAAAAAGAAGCAGAAATTATCATGAGAACTATTGTATCTAAAAATTAATTTTTCAAAAATTTTTAATCTTTTTTTTAATATTAGAAAATTTTTTTTACATATCAGGAACTCTAGGCAATCACAAATTGAAGCTATTAAGCCGCTCAGAACTATTCCACCTGGAAATTTGATAAAAAGTTAGCACCCCATTTTTAAAAAATGTAAAAAAAATGTTTATTGAGCGGAATTCTTGTTATTAACTATAGGGAACTCTTCGTCTCGTCAAAAGGAAGTGGGAACTCTAATCAGAACTCCTGAGTACTACAGTTGGGGTGCTAACTTAACATACCAAGAAAAGAAGGGGGAAAAAAGATTTACGGTTTTTTATTTTCTTAAGGTTTTACTTTATTTCCCTTATAGTTCTCTTATGATTGTGACAATATATTTTAATCAACAATTTTTGTTTATTATAAAGTTTACGTTAAATATGAATAATTATTATTAAAAAATATAAGATAGATCTAAGCTGTTCGTGTATTACACTGTGTAGTATTCAAACATATTATGCAAAATGTACGATAATTTTATTCGCATAAAGTACTTCTACTTCATTTTTAGCATGTTAGAATATATGGATATCATATCAATGCGGTTAGCAAATAGTGCCACAGAGAGTTAATTAGTATCAAAACAAGGAAATTACGTACGTCATAAAGTATGGCTTATTGCACGCTTAATTGTAACACAATACAAATCTCACTTGGGCCGTCGCAAAAATGGAGAGGAAGGAAATTACGAGAATACTCACTTTTGCAATACTCACTTTTCGTTGGAGAACACATGTCGTTTCAGAAGAAGCAAGAGAATATATCTTACTTTTCGCGCGAGATAAGCTACTAAATTGAACTTTATGCATTGTACATCGAGGGATTTCGGTATTGCGATATCGGCTTTGCTCCTCGGGTTTCTGTGAAGAAAGATGTACAAGTAATACGCAATACATTTTCCATCGACGTGAGAATTTCCACGCGTCAGAATTTTGCGACACTGGAAAACTCGATACACGGCGGCACATCCTTCTAGCGCGATGATTCGGATATGAAGCTGTGAACGTCGCTCATATTCGGTTTAATGGATGAAGATAAAATCTACGCGCACTTTTCGCGACATTTTTTTTGTATGTCACATTCAATACCGGATTTATAATGGAATAAATACGTTATCATTACAGAATTCATAAGCAATGAAAAAACAGTTTTATAAATTTGATATTTTGTATACGAACTGCTTTTAAACGAATAGAATAATAATTGTTTGCAAAGCTATTGATGTAGAAATATAATATAATGCTTATGTTAAATTTTATTTACTTTATTAGTTCATTTGTGTTAAAAAATATTTAGAAGTTATTAGGTGTATAAATAAATTTTTGGAGTTTTTTTCGAACGTACTATATCTATTAATTTAAATTTTGACACACACATTCTATTTCGATACAATATTGTTTTTATGTGTCAGAAATTCCGTTTGCTTCAGTGACGAGTAGAGAAGCAGTAGCAAATAAGCACCTTATTAGAGTTTATTTTTAATTGGACTAGAAATGCAGTTAATTAACTACGAATTGTTTACACGAAATGTGTGTAGGTTAGTTAACTTTATTAATGGAAAAATAATTAGGTCCGGAAATTGACATACATTATTATTATCATTATCTAAAGTCAACCGCAGGATCTTTATACACTTAATAAATTTGATTTTTATGATAATTAGAGTAAAAGAATTTCAAATAACGTTTCATGCAATTCCCTGTTGTTTATTTCTAGCTTTATTTTGCCTAGGATAATGAAAAGCGTAATGCTTTATATATAACAGAATTTTTTATTGGACGTCATTCGTTAACAATAAAGGCGACGCAAATGTAATTCTTTTATTCTTACATAAATCTAGAGTTTATTACAAAATTAAACAATTCTAATGTAATTTTTCTTCGTCTGTTCAAATTTTTAAATGCATTGTTATTATTTTTAGTACTTTGAGTACAATGAAGCATATCAAAGAAATAGTTGAAACCTGAAAGAAACGTAATAGAAACGTGCATTTGTAAAAATATGTGCTCATTGCTTCCGTATATAACTGAGTTTCGCGCGTATGTTCAATACATTTTATTTGAAAAAATTTTATCGTTATCTATATTTTTTGTTTTGCACACATTTTCCAATTATTTATTTTGATGAGAATTTGTGAATATGTTACAAATGATCGATTGCTATTATTGTATAATTTAAAGAAATGATCGTCTGGAGTTTTATATAAATGTTCGGTTAAATCTATACACATATTCTAAGGTTTATTCGAACTCCTATTACGGTTTCACGTTTTACAGTTCTTGAATGCTTGAGATCGTGATTTGTTATACTATAATTATTAAAGTATACATTGTCCATTATAAACTATTTAATTCACCGAGCAACAGTTCATAGGGCGATATCTCAAATATAAAAATTGGTGAAAAATCACTTTACACTCCTATAGCGCAAGTTATTACACAGATACGTTCATACATATCAAGTTTATGCATATGATGGTGGCTAGTTTCAAACAGGTATATGTATATGTCGTCATCGGTTGGACATTTTACGATACATTAATTCCAAAACCTTTTATAATTATTTTTTTACATTCTATACATATATACGTACACATATATATATACGAGTATATGTATAGAGAAAGAGAGAGAAAGAGAGAGAGAGAGAAAAAGGGAGAGACAAAATAACTATTTTTATATATTTTATTATAAATGCAACCTCTCGGGTTTTGCGATTTTAGAGAAGCATAAAAAATATTGATTGATAAAATTAATAATTCAGGCCATACTACTAATTAATTTAAATATTGGGTAATTTAAATAGTCGCCTTAGTCACCAAATTGAGCCGTGCAATATACTTTAATAATAGTCAAATCAATATCGTGGTTATGATAGCAGAATCTTTTACAAGATTGGCAGACCGATGTTGGCAGTATTCTATTAATATCGGGCCAAATTAAATTAGATTTTATTCTTCATAAACTGTTTATTGAGTGGCATGTTGCTTCATGATGTATTCACGGTGACAATAATAAAATTTTATAAATACACCTGTGTTTGAATGTTGACTGAATGCATCACATAATTGGATATCGATATAAAAGGTTTTTATGTTCCGTCATTTCATATATGTATTTAATTTTTGTTTAATTTCGTAAAATCTCTGATGATGATACGTTTCGCCCGTTATATTGTTGCAGAATTATTTCACATTTCAGGATTAAATTTTATATTTCTAATGCAACATTTTTAAGAACAATAAAATTGTAAAACTTCCTCTTTTCCATCTCTTTTCTAGAGGGAAATCTGACACGTTATGAACACATTTTCGTATATGTTTTATGTTTTATATGTATATTGTTCAAAAAAATCAAAATTATTTAATTATAAAACGATACTCGTGCATAGAAAAAAGTTATCACTCAAGTTTCAGCTTATTCTTTGATTTTTAAAATCAATTTTTTCATAATAAAGATTCTACGAATAACTAATCTTTTGACAATTCTCTAATGCAGATCGTTGTAAATCTTGGTATAAATGGATAAAATTTATCAAAATAGTTAAATTATAATCAACTTGCAGAAGTTTAATTTAGATTTTCGCAGAGATTTAATATTAAATATTAAACAAATATAAAAAAGGGACTAATATTTAATTAAATTTGTGTCGCGGTAAAATTGACTTTAAATTGATCAAAGAATTTGTAAATGAAAGAAAGTAATAAGATTCCCAAGGGAATCTATGGCACCAAGCATATATCTATATTTATATCGATGAATAGTATGAATGGTCCGGATGTAAAGAGACGTAATTGAATTGGTTAGAATACGCGTGCGGTGAAAGAAAGGCGATTTGCAATGGATGTAGAGAAACGTTACCGAATAAAACGCTACGATAAGACGTATCACCATGAAAGAGCGAAGGTTTCATTTTATTTGGTCTAATATTTACGTTAGTGAACAGTATAAATTACCATTAATTATAAGCATGATTGAATTAGGCTGTTAGACTGTAATTTGATTACAACGTTATCGAACATGCATCTAATATATGTATATATTTTTTCGCGTAAGGTAATTGAGCACAATTTTATAAACAATCGCAATACTCGATGAAACGTATTATCGTAAAGAATTATTCACAGCTGAAGAAAGTTGATAACATTAATTAATATTATGTGAGGATATAAAGATACATTATTTACAAGATCTCGAATACATAATCACTGAACGATATCCGCGATTAAGCGGTGTCATTCGATTTACTGTCTGTACAAATAACTATTCATCTTGTAATTACAAATTTACAAACGTATGTAGGAAGATATTCGAGAGTAATATGTGTATAACAGAATTGTATACTCTAGCGCCGCTTATCAATAATTATATAATAATACGGAACAAATAGATTGGGATTATATTTGGCTCCGATATGTTTTTCTTTTTTCTTATTAATTTAATATTTGGTAAGATTTTCTGTTTTTATTGTAACGATTCGTGCGTTATTTTCATAATTTGATCCCAGAACACATGCCAATAGCTTATACATATAAATGTACATTATATCAATAATCTCGTATAAAGATATTTATAAATTTACAGATATCGAAAAATGTTTTAAAATTTTGTCACGTGTTCTACGAAGTTCGTCGCGTGTCCGGTGCGAGTGAATAAGAAGAACGAGTGATTTACCGATTATCCTTTCCTTCAAACGTTCAAATGTGTAACCAAAGTTCTAATTCCATCCGAGAAGATCTAATTTGAAATTTAGATATGGCATATGAAGTGATACGAAATATTAGAAACAACGTAATAATAACATAAATCACATCATATATAAAGAGAATATATACTATACATTTATCTGTACAGATAGTCCTGGACGTTCCCTTGAAGTGCCTTTAAATATTGCATAAACGTACGCGCAAATACGCGATTGTGCATCTTGACTATCTGTAATGCAAAGGATTTATAGCTTTTTGCATGTTGAACAAATCCTATTACGCTCATTTCAATTATGTAGACTGGTAATGGAGCCACAAATTTCGCAAATGGTGAAAATTAAATTTTGAATTTCAGTAAACGTAAATAAAATCTTAGCACTATTTCTCATGCAACTTTTTTCTGATTAGATCTTCAGTTTTAGTGTTTGGGTGATATCAATTAAACAAGCATTTTATTTAAAGCTAGCTTTTGAATTCGCAGATAGAAGCTTTCGGTGGATAATTAATTTTCATCGAGAATTTTTTTCTTCATATTTGTACCAATTACGCCAGTACGAATAAACGCAATGCAGCACAGAGTCGTAACTCATTAAATTCGTTCCACACAGAATCATAATTCTACAAATTTATTATGGTAACGTGTATTTCATAGAAATCGAATTTAGCGAGTTTTAACGAGCTGTCTATCGAGATGTATCTCGTACATTAAATATTTCTTTATCATTGCATCTCCCTAAGAAAGCTGAAGTAGAATCGCTATTAAATAAAAAGTAAACGGGAAAGGGTTAAAGCAGTTCCTCGTTATCGTCCGAAGTACCGTACATCTGCGGTCTCCTTTCCAGAAGTCGTTGCTGCTGCTGCTGTTGTTTTTGTTGTTGTTGTTGTTGCTGCTGCTGCTTTTGAAGAAGCGCAATACTAGCAGCTTTATAGTTAATCGGCCCGTACGACTTGTAGTCCACGTCCGCATAATCGAGATCCGAGAATTCCGGCTTGAAGGGCTACATAAACAGAAAAATGTAACAAATATCACAGAACGAAAATGGCCTATGTTCCAAACAATACGAATGTCTAAAAGACTCCTGCTTCCTCTGACGGTGCTTTTACTATAAAAAGTTAATATTTCTAACTTTTCAGTTTTATAATGAAATTGCTCGAGTATGGAATTAAGTAAATTTCATTTGGAATAAACTTTGCTGTACCAACTTATTATTGTTAACCTTTCAATCATTGTGTGGTATTTAATTTAATATTAATTAAATATCCTATTAATATTTCAAATAATTACAAATTAAAAGACTCTCGATATATAAAATATATTAAGGAGAAAAAAGGTTAATGAGAGTCACATCTCAAATACAAAATATCACATATATTAATGTCCTTGGAAATAACAAATATATTGATAAAAATATTTAAAAAACGCTAGGACATTTTTAAATTAAAAGTAACGCACAAAGATTCATATACAAAAATTACATGTTTCAGCCTTGTATTACGTTTTCATTTTTTAAATAATTTTACAAAAAGATATTATCGATACAAAATATTGAAAAAAAGTAAAGAGAGTTTAAATGTCTCTTAAACTTTGGTATTGTCTGGGTTCTGATCGTGCTGCGCGGACGACTGCGCACACAAGTTTTATTGCGGACTGTTCGTGAAGTTTCGAAACAGACCTGCTGTGCAAGCGATCGACAAATGACTGGTACCATTTCGAGTGCTAAGCTTTTCTGTTCGTGATCGATGTCCGTCAATTAGACAATGACGCGCGCTTAAGGCGAGTACATGAGTTAAACGGTGATCTTATGGTATGTTAAGTTAGCACCCCAACTATAGTACTCAGGAATTCTGATTAGAGTTCCCACTTCCTTTTGACGAGACGAAGAGTTCCTATAATTAATAACAAGAATTCCGCTCAATAAACATTTCTTTTACATTTTTGAAAAATGGGGTGCTAACTTTTTATCGAATTTTGAGGTGGAATAGTTCTGAGCGGCTTAATAGCTTCAATTTGCGATTGCCTAGAGTTCCTGATATGTAAAAAAAATTTTCTAATATTAAAAAAAAAATTAAAAATTTTTGAAAAATTAATTTTTAGATACAATAGTTCTCATGATAATTCCTGCTTCTTTTTGACGATACGAAGAGTTCTCTATGATTTTTAATGGCATATGCGCTTAATAATCATTTTTAAATAATTTTTAAAAAATGAGGTGCTAACTTTTTAACGAAATTCAAGGTCGCATAGTTCTGATCAGATTAACAGAACTATTTTGTAAATACCTAGAGTTCTTGATACATAAAAAACATTTTTGAAATATAATAAAGTTTA